TTTATATCTAAATGATGATGATGCTGGGCGGAGGAAATGAGTGTAATGCAATGGGCGTATAAGTGCACTAAGCAACTTGAATTAAGTAATTTGAAGTTTGAAGAGAGTGTTTTATGGCATTTACGAGGCAGACAATTGAAATTCATTGATGCTATATTTTATGTTTACAGACAGAAGCAGATGAATTTAATGAAGAATTTATACGACTGTGATTAAAGCCCTTGTTGATCAATTCATTTTAAATATATTATTTTAAATATCTGTTGATTTTTATAAAAAATGTTATCCTTTTGAGTACCGCACGGAAATCACTCGCCAGTCGCATTGCTCGTCAGTCTCTCTCACTAATGCACTAATTCAGTTGTTGTGGCTTTTGCGTCACTAATTTGTACAACTAATTGAATTCAAAAATTTGTAAACCCACTAAATAGTTCAACACCAGTTGTATGAACGCATCATGTTTTCGAGTCGTTGCCGGCACACCTTAGCCGCACGCCAGGCGTGGCTTGGCAGTGTGAGGACCGTGTTGCGGTACACTGGCACGCTAGCATACACACTGCCACACACACACACTCGAACAATTGGTTGGCTAACCGTTAGTTGGCGCAACAATAATTGTTTTCATACAATTTGCTGTCTGGCTCAACGCTTGGCTTTAGTTTTGGGGCAAACCATAAATTCTCGGCACGGACATCAAAGCGTATACGTAACAATTGCATATATGCATCGTCTGTGTGTGCGTGTGTGTGTCTGCTTGTTTGAGTCCAGGCATGCATGAATAGACAAACATATTCGAACAAGCAATGCTTTTGTCAATAATATGCATTAATTAAGTGCAGACATAGATGGATGCCATAGATGGACGCAGAACGAGCGAAAGAGCGACCGAGCTCTCCAGGAACGGAAGTGCCTGGCCCATGCCTGTGGCATATGTGTGGCGTATGTGTGTGTGTGTAAGTGTCCGGGCTTATATGCGCATCAATTTAATTGGAATTTTGAACAACAACAACAAAAATGTAAAACTCAGCTCGAATGCAATTGTTATTATCAAAACCAGTTCGGAGCTCTCGCAACTGTCTCGAAACATAAAAATGCAATTTCCTTGCGTGCACAGAAGCGGTGGGTTTATAGCGCAGGGTAGACGCTTGTGGAGTGGCTTGCCTTCTGATTGAAATGATGCATCCCAGCAGGTAGCCGTGTCAGGTTAGTGTTATTTGTGGTTGGGCTTTGAACAGGAGCAGAAGAGGCACTGGAGCCATTTTTTGTTGCTGCTGCTGCTGCTGGCTCTGCAGCCGCTCCAGCTGATGTTCGACAAATAGTTGCGCAACTGACAAGCAAACTATGCCGGCCTGGAACTGGCACAAATACATACGCATACACACACACACACCCGTACAAACACACACGCACCCGCACACACTGTAAGAGGGTCGAAAGTAAAAGCAAAAGGAGCAGAAGAACCATGGCAGCTGCTGACTAAGGCCCAGGACTCTCGCTCTTTTGTAATATGTGCATTGAGTGGACCCATCGTTTGTCACACGTCTCCAGAAGGGCGTGTTGGGCACTGCTCAGCTCAACGCAGCCCAAGTGCGACAGCGTGTAGAGAGACAGAATCTGTAAATGTTGAAGCAGTGGCAGCGGCAGCAGTAGAAGCAGCAGGCCTGAAAAGCAATGCACAGTGGGGCAGAAACTCACTTAATTGGAAGAGAATTTTTAATATGACTCGCTGGTTTACTATTTACAAAAGTAAATAAACTAGTTGACGTCCTGGCATGGGAAGAATGTTGTACAACAAACAAGTCAACTGTAAATGAAAGCTGAAAGCTTTTGCCAAACCAGAAAAAATAGATGTATTCTCAGACTGTTTATCCCAAAAATCAAGTTAAGGTTCTTAACATTTCTACTTAGTTAAGTAGAGTGTTTTAATACCATATTAATCAGAGTTCGTAGATTAGAAATGATTAAAGTTAACAACATTTTACAGCTTAAAAAACAATAATAAGAGAAGTCAGATATTGGACGATTGTACGAATCCCAGTCTTCTCGGGTCTTTCCACCCGAGTGGTCTTTACCAAATAATTCCCTAACAACTATGTAAATATAATTTCCTTTTTTGATATTTTCTGTTTTAGGCTTATCTACGATACTTGTCCATTCCTTTAGTAAACCCTTAACTTCTCAGTTTGTCACTCATGGTCTGTCTGTTGCAAGATATTTGCTCGGACTTCTCAAACACTCTGTCACTCGGGCTGTATGTCAGTCACTGGCGTTTGTCACAGTGCACCACAGTGAGTTGTTGGCTGAGTGCCTGTTGGTGGGGCTAATGGAGTTTGTAAGAGTTGGCGCAAAAAGTGGATCAAGCTCCCGGTATGCTCGGCACAAAGGCATCTCGTTGCAAACCAACCAGCCAACAATTGCCAGCATGCAGTACATGCTCAGGCAACTTACAAATCGTTGTCGTTTTTGCAATGCAAACTACCTTACAGCCTTACACCTCCCAACAACCCAGCCTCCGCCCTTCCTTCGGCCCATTCTTTTTTTTTGCATTCAATGAGAGTCCTGTGCTTGCCCGCAATGTGCATGTGGTTGCCAAGTTGGGCGACTGGCCCCGGGGCATGGGTCCTTTTCAGAAGAACCGACCGTGACGGGCCACAGCTACAGCGACGTTGACGCTGACGTCGACAGAGGCAGCGCTAGCAGCGTCTTTGTTTATATGCCAGCATTTGGGCGCTGTCTACATCCTCAGTGTGTGTGTGAATATTTCACTCACTCACGGTGAATGCTGGCTGATGTTGTTGTCGTTGTTGTCGTTGTTGCTGAAGCCCTAAAGCTGTACGTGTGAGTGGTTTTAGTGTTGCTCTGGATTTTTAAGTTGTTTTCGTTGTCGTGAGTTGTTGTTTGTGTTGCCTTTTTTTCTATGTGTGTTCGTCTTCAGCTGCAACATATGCACTTAAGCAACAACACACACACACACACACACAGGTACACATACATATGAGTTGGGGCAGAACCACGCACAGAACGCTGACACCAATTAGGGTTAGCTGTCTATTGTGTTTGTTGTTGTTGCACTCCGTGCCTTGGTTGCATGTATACAGTAGCCACAAAACATAATTTTTGTTTAGACAACTCCGCAAAACTAGGACTAAATTGCTGCCCCAGCTCCAGTTGCAAATCGTCGCCATCGTCGCCCTTCTTCTCCTGCTCCTGCTCTAACCTATGCCATAATTATCGCTTGCACAGCAGCAGCAACAACTAGAACAACAACTGCAATAACTGCATCAACTACAACCATCAGAGCTGCTGCTGTGGCAAGAGCGACAGCAGAGGCCTTTCCTAACGGTTACTAAAGCTGGCCAGCATTACCAGTTTGGTATAATTTTCAATTTTAATTTGGTGCAGAGCGAAAACTTTTCAGCTAGTATTTTGTTGCTCTACCCTGTTCTGAATCAAGTTTGTTGGATAAATACATATATATATAAAATAATGAAGTATGGTATTAGAGTGTCGGATTTTAGACAATGTTTATGAAAACATTCCCGCAACTAATTCTTTTGTTGTGGCAGCTTAGCATATTGAATATGAAACCTTTTCGAGCTCAAATAATACTCTTAAAATTATTTGTATTCTTTTCCATGACTGTTTGTATAAATTGGTTTAATTCCAAAACGTGTTTTATAATTTATTTAAATATAATATATATATTTATAGTAAATATACTGCATTAACTAAATTTAATATGCAAAAAACAATCATTAAGCTTAGGGTATGCATTAGTCCATCACACAGAAAATGTTGTTGTCGTTCTTGTTGGTTGTTGCTGCCTCCGCATTGAATTTACACCCTAACGAGTTGTTGTTGTTTAAACTTGCACTGGTTGTTGTTGTTGCTGTTTTTGTTGTTATTTTCACTGCCAACTCCAAAGAGTTTATTAGAAAGTTTTTTCAGCTGCTGCTGCTGCCTCTGCTGCTGCTGCTGTTACCGTTGCTTTTCATGTTGCTGGTGGTGTTGGTGGTGCTGTTGTCGTTAGCCTTGCCTCGTTGCATACTGGTTGCCATTAGGCGGAAAGTTTTGGAAGTCGCGCACCGCGAACATATGTGGGAGATCCGTTAGCGCAGTTGTGGACCAACATCCGAGAATGTGTGTGTAATTGTTGGGGTATATTTCTGTTTGAGGCTTATCGCTGGGCTGTGCTCTTCTCATGCGCCAAGCAAAAAAAAAAACAAACTATGCCACACAACTTTTCCTAATTAATTTTTAATGTGTGTAAAATGTTTTGTAAATGAGTATTTACTTTGCTTTTAAACATCACTCACAGCAAGTTCTAAGCAGGCTAAAAAGCTGCTGTGGGTAGACTTTAAGTGACATTTGTGACAGTCATGGAATGAAAATGATTCGAGTTATTGCAACTGCCGTTAATGAATGTATTAATCTATTGAAATATTAATTATACAAAAGGATTCGGATTCTGCTGGAAAATGTGCCATTTATAGCAGGATTAAATATTCATTTGTACGTTAGCCGAGTATTAGCTGGACTATTTGATAATCTGATATGTTTTCTTGCTGCAAACTTTTTGCTTTCGGCTGACAGTAGATTTTTTGTTGGTAAATTTAAACTTGAGTCTTCAGCAGATGGTCAGCATTTTAGTGTTGATTTTGTGCTCAAGTAACATACTAATTGCATATGGCGCTTGTTAGACCCAGTTACACAGATTCACACCCAGAAACATACATACACAAACTCACATTCATAGTGGACATGACACATGTACGTAGAACGAACAACTTGCAGCAAATTGGTGCAAGCAAAATGGAATTTGCAAAAAGGGAAGCAATCCACTCGAAACTCACCACTCAGCACCATTATGTCCATTATAAATGGAGCTGCTGCCACCAAACGAACTACCACCCAATCAACGACCACCCATCACCCACAATAGTGTGTCCTTAACTAAACGCTTTTGCTTCTATCTCTCCCTCAACGCTGTCATTTCGCAGAGATTTGCGCTTCAATCGCATTGAGGAGCTGCCGGCCAATGCATTCAATGAACTTGGTCAACTGACGACACTATTTCTGGATGAGAACGAGCTGGCTTATGTGCACGAGAATGCATTCAAGGGTCTATCGTCGTTGCGGTTTCTCTATTTACATAAAAATCGCCTAAGCCGATTACCCGCCAGCGTCTTTCAGCAGTTGCCGCGTTTGGAGACACTGTAAGCAAACACAGTTTCAATTTTAAATCGAGTTCGAGCTTAATTAAAAAACTCACCATTTTCTTTTCATATCTCTATGTAGCTTTCTGGAAGACAATGATATTTGGCAACTTCCACCCGGACTCTTTGACAATTTACCCCATTTGTATAGCCTGTAAGTTCGTTTGCTTTGCCACCCCTCTTTCGGTTTCCCTTCGGCTTTCTCTTTCCAGCAGGTTATCTCAACGATTTTTCGGTTTATTTTTCATTTGGCTGCAGTTCATTGCGCAACAACAAGCTGACAAGTCTTCCATTGGATATGTTCAACAAATTGCACAGCCTGAAGCGTTTGCGTTTGGATGCCAACCCGATTAATTGCAATTGCGGGGTGTACTCCTTGTGGCGTCGGTGGCATCAGGATGCACAACGTCAACGGCTGGCCATCAGTTTGAACTGTGCTCAACCGTCTGCACTGCAACGTCAGTTCAGTTTTAGTGACCTCTCGGAGCAGCATTTCCAATGCGGTAAGTGGCAGCAACAGGAACAGCAGCAGCAACAGCACCAACACCAGCACCAGCAACAGACACTGTGGGTGTCTATTGGCCAAATGACGCCAGCTCGTTTTTCAGACAGCCAACGAATGAGCTGTTTAAAAATTAATCAGCTCTTGCAACACAGCCGCAAAAGCATTTCAAAGATTTTCTATAGGGAATTGAGTGCTTGCGAAACACGATGCTTACTAACTTATAGCAATACAAACAGTAAAAGAAAATCATTTAATTAACTGCTTAAAATGTGCAAGCAAAACCACTTTGACAGTACATGAAAGCTATTCAAGTAAGAATGCTCTATCAGGAATAATCGACCAGGGTATACCCTAGCCAGGCTGTGAAAAATATTTAATCAATGAAAACACAAGTTTTTTATGTGTCCAATCCAACTTTAAAAGTTTTTACATACTCAAATTTAAATAGTTTATTTGCGGCTTTTCAACAACAGCACAATTTGCTTAAGCTTGCTTGTAGCTCGATGTCGAATTGCTGTTCAACTGCTATAGTTGCTATAGCTATATATAATGCAGATTCACTGGCAGTTATTATAATTTTAATAATATTATTCATGTATGAACTTCGATTACTACACACAGCCAAGCCACGATTGCTAGAGGGACCCCAGGATATGCAAGTTCAGGCGGGTGACACTGTGGACATGGTCTGCAATGTGGAGGGCCAACCCAAACCGGAGCTCACCTGGATGCACGACACCAACGAGATCGGTGTAGAGCAGTCGCCGCGTATTCAGATCCTACCCACTGGCTCATTGCGAATCAGTGGCGTCCAGTCCAATGACATTGGCATCTACGAGTGCATAGCACGCAATGAAATGGGTGAGATCAAATCACAGCCCGTACGACTGATGGTCAGCAATGTGGACAGCCAGCAGGCTGGCAGCAATCAGGTATGGGCAGCGGATGTCGCTGCGAATGCGATTGCGGATGTGGATACAACACTGGCGCCACCGCGCTTCACCCATCAGCCGCATGACCAAGTGGTGGCACTGCATGGTGGCGAGCACGTGCTGTTAGATTGCGCCGCCAGCGGCTGGCCACAGCCAGACATACAATGGTTCGTCAACGGTCGCCAGCTGACCCAGTCCACGTCCACACTGCAGCTGCAGGCGAACGGCAGTCTCGTTCTGCTCCAGCCCAGCCAGTTGACAGCGGGCACGTATCGTTGCCAGGCACACAATCATCTGGGCAGCATTGAAGCCACCGCCCGCATCGAAGTCAAGGGTGAGTCCTATCCATTTGGGGCGTAATAGGTCCATATTCGGTTTACTACTACTACCCCGCTCCATGCTCGTATATTGTATATATGTCTGCGTTTCCATTTCACAGTCACAACTGTCGCGTTTAACGCAATTTGCAGTCGATTTAATTTCGTATTGGGTTGCCAGCTTTATAAAACCAACAAATGCTCCAACTGGTACTTGGTTATACACTTTTTGTTGTTGTTTCGGTTGCCTATTAGCGTCATGATTTAAGCCAACTACCATTGGCTTCAAATAAAAGTACTTTTATTGCAGACCATGGGGCAAGGCTTAAGATTAATTGGTCGGGCAAAGAGTTTCGAATGGTGTTGTTTTTTTTGTGTTTTTTAGTTGCCAATGGACAAAGGTATTTCCTATTTATGCAGAGCTTTAATTGTGTGCAGCTTAACTGAAATATAAATATATAAACATATGTATATATATATATATATATATATATATATACGTTCAGAGTTTTTATTTAACGTTCTGACTGAAATCTATGTTTTTTCTTTTTCATTTAACTACAATTTATTGCTAGTTGACTATTTTGTTCACCTTTATTGCTTTCCATTTCATATTTAATTGTATATTTTGAATTGTTTTTTTTTTTAAATCAACTAAACACTTTTTACTCAAAGGGAAATGAAATTCTCTTCAGAAATAGCTTTAAAATCATTTTAATTTATAATCACACGACAAAGCAAGCATATTAATATTATTATACTATAAGCGAGTAGTTTAATTATGTTGGTTCATAATATTTAGTGTACTATTATAATTGTACAGATCCATATTATGAGCAGCACGTAATAACGATTGCCATAAATTGTGAACTGTATAAGTAGATTTAAACTTAAGCTTTAATATCTTTAATTTCTTAGCCAAGCTCTGCGACGTGACTGTACTTTTTATGGCATTAAATACGGGCAGCAGTTTATGGAGTGATGGGGAGGGGCAGGCAGGTGGCGTGTGTTTCATAAATGTATATATTGTGCAGTCAGCGCCTTAATCACAATGGCTCATTATAATTTGTGGTCACAGCATAAAATGAAGTGCGAAATGCGCGCATTATTTTGCAAATTCAGTGCAAAAATTATAAACTATTTTGCACTCGACGCATATTCCCGAGTGTAGCACGCACTTCAAATGGGGCAGGGAAAGCGGCAAGGGTATGTTGAGGTTGCTGCTGCCTTTGGTTACCATAATTAACCCTGCAATCACACACACACACACGAGCGCAAGCCAGCGGCAAACAAAAATGGCGACCAGCTTGTTTGAGCCGCGCCAAAAAGTATGCTATGGAAATTTGGGGAGCGATGGAGTCAAATGCAAAAACGACAACTACAAAAGAACGCATAGAAAACTGACCAGCAGCTACAATTTTCCTTTTGTTGTTGCTGGCACGACTGGTGCTACTGCTGCCGCTTTTACTGGTGTTATTTGGAGCGTTAGAAATTGCTCAAATCACTCAAATACGCCTCGTTGCCAACTCTCGTTGCAGATTTACCCGAAATTTTAATGGCACCGCAAAACCAAACAATCAAACTGGGCAAAGCATTTGTGCTGGAATGCGATGCCGATGGCAATCCTCTACCCACCATAACCTGGCAATTGAATGGAGCTGCCTTACTCTCTGGCAACACCGTCGACCTCCTGCTGGAGAATGAGAACACCGAACTGGTGGTTAGCGCAGCCAAAGACCACCATGCGGGTAAGTGCAACAATATCCCTCTCCCTCTCTGTCCCTCCCCCTCTCTCTCTCTCTCGCTCCCTCTCTCTTTCTTTCTGTCTCCCTCTCGATATTTACTTGCATGAATGTATATGTAGAGCGGTCGTTTTAAATTGTAGGTGTCTACCGCTGCACGGCGAGCAATGAGAATGGCGAGGTGAGCGTGGAGGCAACCATTAAAGTGGAGCACTCACAAACACCGCCGCGTTTGGCCATTGAGCCCAGCAATTTGGTGGCCATTACGGGCACCACCATCGAGCTGCCCTGCCAGGCCGAGCATCACGAGACCGGACTTCAGGTAAAAGAAATAAAACTTGAACGCCACTTGTTGACGTTTCCGTTGTCCGTCTTCAACTTTGCCATTGTTTTTGCCTTTCGATTCACAGATTGTTTGGCGACGCGATGGACGCCTTATCGATCCCAACGTGCAATTGACGGAAAAATATCAAATAAGCGGCACGGGCAGTTTGTTTGTCAAGAATGTGACCATCTTGGATGGCGGACGGTACGAGTGTCAGCTAAAGAATAAGTTTGGAAGAGCAACAGCCTCTGCTCTGGTTACCATCAGGTGAGTGGCGGAGAAAAAAACTTGCACATCGAAACGCAAGGAGCCAAGTTTTTGCTCAAACGGCAAACTACTTTGGCAGCAGTCTCAAAGTAAACCTAAAGATGCCTTGCCTGCCAGATGGCAAGCGCACTTAAAACACATTTAGGGTAGCGAAAAAAATGCTGGCTTAATTAATTGAAAAATAGTTTGGTAGCGCATAAGAGCAACGCCAAAGTAAGCCAAATATAACAGTACTTCTGGTCAAACACTGTGCTGCAAGCACATATCAAAAGCAGAGTTTTTTGAGCGATTTAACTTCTCGTAAAGTGAGTTGTGAAGAGCAAGATGGTGCGAATAGGTCCGCTGTGCACTTTCGAAACAAGCCTTAAAGCAAACTAGTTAAAAAGTTTTCAGACTGAAGGCAGAACATGATTTTTGACATGAAATGTGCAACCATTATCTATATAGTAACTAAACTTCGACTTTCTCAGATTTGCCTTTTCGCAAAAGAAAGGTATTTTAGTTTGTAGTGTAAGTTTGCCTAGGCCCATAAGCAGAAAGCTGGCAGGCAAATTAATTATTGATGAACTTTTCTTCAACCTACCTTAATTGCCTTTCACAATGCTCGCAAAGCAGTCTTGCTTCACTGTGCCGCTGGCTAAACTGCATATAAAATATGCACTAAAAGACATCAAAAAGCGGCGACGAAAGCACCAAAGTTGCTGTGCCAGTTGGCGTTGGCAAAAACGTGCCAACACAGGACTCGAAACGTGACAACCAGACACAGAATGAGAGACAGAGAGACAGTGGGAAAAATAGAGAGAGAAAGAGAGAGATAGCGACTAGGAAGAAGAGGAGAGAAGTGTTCTCTGAGGATGAGACAACCGCACAAGTTGTCCAAATTGCCCAAATTGAAATTGAGTTGACAACTTGTTCATGGGACTGAGAAGAATCTAGTTTTCTTTAACTGATTCTATTTTTGTATGTGTGTGTGTGTGTGTGCCTGTGAGTGTGTGTGTATTCGTTTGTTCCATTCAAGATGGTTGCCAAATGGGCCTGTGTGCTGCATACATGTAGCCGTAAATCAATTTGTTACCCTGGTCATGATAAAGCAAAAGCCGCACAAAATGGTAAACCAAAACAGGCCCACAAATCCTGTTCAATTCGAAGGCAAGAAAAAGGCGTTGCTTACGCAGCAATTTTTTAAATGCATAATGCAGAAACCGCCTTTATAACAGTAAAAGCTATAAGGCTGGAAGCAATCTTCCAACTTCCATATGACCTGCTTACTTCTATGAGATTGGGAGTGCTGTGTTCTCCGTACGCTTTGTTTGCACGCGTCATTTAGTTCGCTTGCCAGATGCAGCAGCAGTGGCAGCAATAACTGCTGCTGTGGCAGGATGCTGGAGCAGCTTACGTTGCGTTGCCGCCACCAGCATTAGAAACTTTACTCATTACGCTGTGCCAACCTCAGCCGCTAGACCACAGCAAAGAAAACAAGCAAAAAATTTCAAAATAAAAAAAAAGGAGGCGGCGTGCAAACGTTAAAAGTGAAAAACTATGCTGAGTCACAGACCAAGAATGGCTAACGGAATTGTGGCGGCCGGGGGTGGCACCGTCGCTGAGGCCAACAAAAAAATGAGCGAAAACCGCTGAAAGCCTGCAGCAACAACAATTACGACGACAGCAGAAGCAGCAAAAGGCAGTATCTACTGAAATCCGCCTAAGTTGTGGGTAATGCTGGCGTAAAACAAAAGCTTATCCTGGGATGCTGGGATGCTCGGGGTGATTGGAGACGGTGAAAATGGTGCCGGGCATGCTGGCTCCGGAAATACGTTGCCATTGCCCCAGCATGTGGCATACACACTCACACACACACACATAAAGTGGCTGAAAAGCCAAGAAAAGCCACACACATGCATGCTGAAGAAGCTGGCAGCTGGACTTTTTAGATACTCTACAGCTAATATACAAGGAACTTGCGTGACCCATATTAAAATAAATATTAATATTATTATTTTAAACAACTCTGGTAACTGTGTTAGTGAATACAAAATATGATATGGAATGAATAAATTTATAAGCATTAGCTTTAGAAATAGCAGTAAGTAAACACTTCATCAGTTGAACTTAAGTATTTCGGAAATGAAACCCTTTTGACCTTTGTGCATAATTTTCAATTAAGATTAACTTCTGAGTGGAGTAACTTGCTTTAATACAAAGAGAGTGAGATAGAATTTAGAAATAGACTTGCATACCGTTCTGTCAATAATTGTATAAAAATCTTGGAATTAGTGAGTAAGCATGCCAATCGCCCATCTCTGCTTGCTTTAATTCCCACTTAAGTTTGTAAATACGAGCCCCAACTACTTAAACAACAAATTCAAAGGACCACGTTAAACAACTGTTTAGGGTATTTACAAACACCCTGGTGTGCCAGATAAAGCGCAACCACAAAATGGGAGAGAAGGAGGGTGGGAGCAGGTGCAGACGATGGCGGTGGCGGTGGCGGTGGCAGAGGAGATGGGGAGAATTATATGTATGTAGTTGGCTGGCAGTGGTTGCCATTTAGTTGCTGTAGTGCGATGCGATAGTTGATAGTGGTAAGCCGTGAGCAGTGGCTGTGGTGCAACAGGGTGTATTATGGTCGTTAAGTTATTACCTACAACGACGACAATGGCAAAGTTTACACAGCGAAACTTTCCAAAGGGAAATTCCTTTAACGGCAATGGCAACGCCAACTGAGAATGAGAGGCATGAATTGTTGTTAATACCGCCGTTGTTGTAGCCTGGCACCAGAGCTTGGCGCGGATTTTCCCTTTTTTCCAACAAAACCAAATAACAAAAAGTGTGGCATAATTCTGTTCCTTGCCAGTTCAGCGACTGCCGCTGGGTTAAAATCAAAAAAAGAACCAGACTAGAAACTAAAAAGAAAAAATATTTAGTTTACTTCTGGATTTTCATGAGACAACGACAATGAAGTTTTAAGGAACTTCTGACGCTTTGGAAAAATTAATTGCAATTAAAGTGTGGAATGTAAAAAGTTGGTCTTGCTTCATTTTTTTTTTGGTAATATTAATTAAGGAATTTGCTTTTGTGAGATAAGCGACAGACTGGTCGCTTAACATTTGTAACGCTTTGAATTTTAAACTGATTTTAGTTCGTAAATAGTTCATATTTTCCACTGCGATGGCTACGCTTTGTAGGCATGACTAGATATCTACAAATGGTTATAGCGGCTGTTCTGCCTTTAAAATCCCAAATTTCTTTCTTTCCAAACTTTAAACTTATCAAAAAATTATCTCTTTGCAGAAACAATGTAGATTTGGCGCCTGGCGACCGTTATGTGCGCATTGCCTTTGCCGAGGCGGCCAAGGAAATCGATGTGGCCATTAACAATACACTGGACACGTTGTTCGCCAATCGTTCCACTCGAGCACCACCCAACTATGGCGATTTATTGCGTGTCTTTCGCTTTCCCACCGGCCAGGCCAGGCAGTTGGCACGTGCCGCGGAAATCTATGAGCGCACACTGGTGAATATTAGGAAGCATGTGCAACGTGGCGATAATCTGACCATGGAGAGCGAACGCTATGAGTTTAGGGATCTGCTGTCCCGTGAGCATTTGCATCTGGTGGCGGAGCTGTCGGGCTGCCAGGAGCATCGCGAGATGCCCAACTGTACGGATATGTGCTTCCACTCAAAATATCGCAGCATTGAGGGCACCTGCAACAATCTAATTCATCCTACTTGGGGTGCATCCTTGACGGCATTTAGGCGACTGGCGCAACCCATCTATGAGAACGGTTTTAGCATGCCCGTGGGCTGGACGAAGGGTGTCCTCTATGCAGGGCATCCAAAGCCAAGTGCACGTCTCGTCTCGACCTCGCTGGTGGCCACCAAGGATATTACGCCCGATGCACGCATTACCCACATGGTCATGCAGTGGGGCCAGTTTCTGGATCACGATCTGGATCATGCCATACCCTCGGTTAGTTCGGAAAGCTGGGATGGCGTTGATTGCAAGAAGACTTGTGAATTTGCTCCGCCCTGCTACCCCATTGAGGTGCCCCCGAATGATCCACGCGTGACAAATCGTCGCTGCATTGATGTGGTACGCTCCAGTGCCATCTGTGGTTCTGGAATGACCTCGCTGTTCTTCGACGGTGTGCAGCATCGCGAGCAGATCAATCAGCTGACAGCCTATATCGATGCCTCACAGATTTATGGCTATAATACACCCTTCGCCCAGGAGCTGCGCAACCTGACATCCGAGGAGGGACTACTGCGCGTGGGCGTGCACTTCCCCAAGCAGAAGGATATGTTGCCGTTTGCTGCGCCACAGGATGGCATGGACTGTCGCCGCAATCTGGATGAGAACCAAATGAACTGCTTTGTCTCCGGCGATATACGGGTCAATGAGCAGGTGGGTCTGCTGGCCATGCACACGATCTGGATGAGGGAACACAATCGCATTGCGAGCAATCTGCACAAGATTAACAAACACTGGGATGGCGATCAACTGTATCAGGAGGCACGCAAAATTGTCGGCGCTCAGATGCAGCACATCACCTTTAAGCAGTGGCTTCCCCTTATCATTGGCGACAGTGGCATGCAAATGTTGGGCGAGTATCGTGGCTATAATCCTCAGCTAAATCCAAGCATTGCCAATGAGTTTGCAACGGCTGCACTGCGTTTTGGACACACCATCATTAATCCTATATTGCATCGTTTGAACTCAAGCTTCCAGCCCATTCCCGAGGGACATCTGCAGCTGCACAAGGCCTTCTTTGCTCCCTGGCGTCTGGCCTACGAGGGCGGAGTGGATCCTTTGTTGCGCGGCATGCTAGCTGTGCCCGCTAAGCTGAAGAAGCCCGATGAGAATCTCAATATGGAGCTCACGGAGAAACTGTTCCACACGGCACACGCGGTAGCTCTCGACTTAGCTGCGATCAATATACAGCGTGGACGAGATCATGGCATTCCCGGCTATAATGTGTATAGAAAGTTCTGTAATATGACCGTCGCACAAGACTTTGATGATTTGGCCGGGGAGATTAGCAATACGGAAATCAGGCAGAAGCTACGTGAGCTCTATGGTCATCCAGACAACATTGATGTATGGCTAGGTGGTATACTGGAGGATCAGGTAGAGGGCGGCAAGGTGGGTGCGCTCTTCCAATGCTTGCTGGTGGAGCAGTTCCGTCGTCTGCGTGATGGTGATCGTTTCTACTATGAGAATCCGGGCATCTTCCTGCCCGAGCAGCTCGTCCAGATCAAGCAGGCCAATTTGGGACGTGTGCTGTGCGATGTGGGCGATAATTTCGATCAGGTTACAGAGAATGTGTTCATCCTGGCCAAGCATCAGGGCGGCTACAAGCAGTGCGAGGACATCGCCGGCATTAATCTATATATGTGGCAGGAGTGCAGCAACTGCAATAGCCTGCCAACCATCTTTGACTCCTACGTTCCGCAGACGTACACCAAGCGCAGTCAGCGCAATAAGCGTGATGTCCACAGCTCTGAGATGGAGCTGCCCGCTGCCGAAAGTTATGACAGCCCCCTGGAAGCTCTGTACGAAGTGAATGAGGAACGCGTTAGCGGCTTGGAGGATCTTATTGGGAGCTTCCAGAAGGAGCTGAAGAAATTGCACAAGAAAGTGCGCAAGCTGGAGGATTCATGCAATGCTGTTGATGCTGAGCCCGTAGCACAAATCGTTCAACTGGCGCCCGCACCACTGCCCGCCGCCGTGAAGCCTAAGCGGAGCCACTGCGTCGATGATAAGGGCACCACGCGATTGAACAACGAGGTTTGGACACCGGATGTGTGCACCAAGTGCAACTGCTTCCACGGACAGGTGAACTGTCTGCGTCAACAGTGCGGCGAGGTCAGCTGCCCGGCTGGCATTGAGCCACTGACTCCTCCAGAAGCCTGTTGTCCACACTGCCCCGTAATGCCAACCAAATCCAAGGTGGTTAAGTGAGATGGGCTGAGGATTTAGCAATTTGCATATCGACTTAACGATTAATCAAAACTGTAATTCTTAGTAGCCACATTAACACTTATAGCCGGATTCCACTGGCTCATTTACATATAATGATGAGACTTGTATCGACTTGTTTTATCAAGAATTATCGTTGGTCTTTTATCCCATTAAGAGGAAAATTTACTTATGGTGTCAAAGATTAAAGTTGAATAAAACAAATATACGAACCTTAAACCTGTGGAATCCCTCTATAAACTCTAATCGATGACGCACACAGAGCAAGCAATTAATTAACAATTAACTAAACATTTACTGCTACACATGTAACAATAAAGCACATTAATAGCAAAACTTGACACGCTACTGAAAGTTTACATATTTCGTATGAGATCCCTTGGCTATCACAGAGTTATCCTTCTTGTGCCGCAGCTGGCAATCGATGAAGGCCAAGTTTTTACCTGCCCGCACCAAATTGGCCTCGATGAGGACCTCGTCGCCGATGCGTGCCGCTTTCAGGTAACTCACATTGATGTCCACAGAGACACCTGGGTGACAGGGCTTGGACATTAGAGCATAGGTGGTTATCATGTCAACCAAAGTTGCTGTGTACCCGCCATGCAAACCACCGACTTTATTCAGATGCTCAGGCGCCACCGTAAACTCGGCAGTGCAAAGGCCATCGCCACCATCAAGTATTTTTACCTTTGAAATGATCAGTTAAAGTGGGATTTATCCATTATAAAGAATCCATACCTTTTCCAAGTGCCGCTCAAAACCCGTTGCCTTAGCTATTATCTCTGAAATATGTTTGGCAAATTCCAAACCTTTTTTTCGCGTCCCCATTTTTTTCTGATGTTATTACAAAACGTGTGGGTGACAATACAAGAAAAAGTGCAAACAGTTGTAGAGATGAGCTATTGCAGCGTCAACTATCGATAAGCTATTAATCAAAATATAGCGCAACAATTGGATTTAGCTATTTCGATAGTGGCCGTTGACGTCAATATAAAACAGTGACATTGCTAATATTTGATGTTTATTGCATGTAATGACTAAAAGCTTATTCAGCTGACTTGTTAAAGTCCACGAATTTTGTCTGTCCACCTTTGGCAATGATTCGACCATCCGCTTTGTTGCGCAGCACACACTCAATGTAGGCCATTTTACGGCCAGCATGCAAAGTAACAGCATCCACTTCGATCACATCTCCAGGTTTTGCCGTCGACAAATAGCTCACATTTAAACAGGAGCTGACGCCCGGATGTGAGCCCTTCGACATTAGTGCATAAGTAGTTATATTGTCTAATATGGTAGCCGTTAAACCGCCATGCAGCGAGCCCAAGCGATTCAAATGTTCCGCAGTCACAGTAAATTCACCCACAACGCTACCATCGCCGCCGCTTGTTATTTTTACCTGCAAAGAATTCAAATGAGGCGCGTTATCGATAGGCTTGCTTATATAATATCGAAACTCAGCTTCAGCTGTTTGTTGCGTTCTTCTTGGCTGTTCTTCATGCGAGTTTTTCGTCTCCATTTACCATTTGCGTGACGCGGTCAAAATTTGGGCCTTTAGATATAAATTTGGCAACATTTTTTATCATTTCAACACCACTCTTAGCTGCCATAATTTTGTGACTGTTGCTTTGCCGTTCTTCTCGCTTTGAAATGAAAAAAGGTACTGAGGCAAGCGCTGGCGAAGACAAAAGTGAGTGCGAAACGAACTAAAATGCAATTCATTCGTAAATATATATGTGTGTGTGTGTGCTGTGAACTGTGTCTAGGCTTGCGGCACGTGAATTTCACGCATTTGTTGTGCTCGCGCTGTACGCGTCTGCGTCTGCCGGCCTAAATGTGATAATGAAAACGAACGAATTATCCAAAAGAAATGTTAAAAGAAATAAAATTAACATTTTATATTTGTATAGCTTGCGTTGAATTTACTCGTTCATAGAACTTTAGCTCTTTTCTTTTTATTTTCGAATTTCACAAGCCAAATTCGCGACAATTGAACTTTGACCATCTATTTTTAAATCTTCGACAATTTACATTTTCTATTGCCATAGCTGCTATAGCGTTGAAATTCGAACAGTTGGCCAAAGATGATCTTAGGCAGGATACTGTGCACGACTTCGTGTCCTACACAACGGATGGCAATTGCATTACGCTTATTGGCTCCAAAACGGAGCTGCTCACCATGGAGCTAACGAGCAAGTCGTCATATCAAGTGCCCTTCCCCTACATTCTGGCCAGCGCGAAGTGCTCGAACAAAAAGCGGCCACTGGACCATCTGTCGCTGAAAGTGAATCTCCAGAATATCTACGAGAGCAGCAATGTGCTGGAGATGCAGCAGCTGAGCTTGGAGCCGGCTTACACGGCCGTCTGTTCGGAGGAAGTGCCAGTGCCAAAGATTATGGCCGCCAGATTAGCACCGCAGCGTCTGCCTGGCGGCCAAATGCTGTTGGCCACGCTGAACAGCTACGGAGCCGTGGACTTGTTAACTAAGAGCGTGGAGCAGACGACCTGGGATCACTATGGAGAAGGTCTTAGTGTGGCCACTACACTCAGGGATACGTTGCAGCCTCCGTATGAAGTGCCAGCATCAAAGATCGAAACATTTCGCCAATTTCAGGCATTTATTGATCGCAGCTGGATAACAATGTTCGCTTGGCGTCCAGTCGATGGCAAATATGCGCTCGTCCTGGGCACAGCTGCCGGCAGCATTTGGACTCTGACCTTAAGCCCCGACGCCCACACTGTGCTTGCTCATTGCCAGCTGCAGACGCTTTTAGATCGCATATGTTACATGCACAGCTCTAAGGATCTGCTCCTGGTTGGCGACAACAGTGGACTCGTGCATCTGTACAGGTTTGATGACGCCGAAGAGGAGGGCCTCTGTCTGGTGAAAACGCTCTGGCTCCGACCCGATCACATGGGTTTGCAACAGGCATTGATTACGCATTGTCCGCAACGCGGCTGCTACTACATTGTCTGCTGCAAGGCAGCGCATCTGCTGATTTGGTGCATGCCACGGAAGGAGAATGGTGAATGGCTTGAGACACGTCTCCATGCAGGTGGTATGAAGATCACTGGTAAGTTCATTCATCCCATCCAAATGCTTAGATTATTAATACAATTTTATCATTTCACACAGCACTTTGCAGTCTGGAGAATGGGAATTATGCTCTGGCAACTGCGCGTGGAGACTTATATCGAATTGAGCTCACCCATAAATCCGGTCAGCTGAGTGCTAGCATGCAGCCGATTGAGTTGAAGGATTCAGAGAACTTCCAACCAGTTGGCCTGTTTAGCAGTCCGCACAACAATCTACTGACTGTGCTCTCAACGCGCAACAAGGAGTATGTACTCAATACGACTCTGCTGCGTTATCAACTACAGGTGCGCGTGGGCAGGCTGCAAAGAGTGGATGCCATTGCTAAGCTTGCCGGATGTCTGTTGCCCAACGAGGCCATCAACAGCTGCAGCGATATATTGGTCGAAATGCGATTGGACATATTTAACGGTATCAAACTAGAGGAGTACGCGAATTATGCGCCATTCGATTTGTTTGCCTTCGATGAGTTGGCCTCGGAATCGCAGCATCAGCATCTCCAACTCAAATACCATGTTCTTGATGGAATTATTCAGGCACAGCGAGTTCAACTTAACGACCAACCGCTGGAACAATCCAAGCGCGAAATGCAGCTGCTCCTGGCCATGTTAACTATGACTCACATACGACTGCGTTTGCAATACTTGAGCAGCTTGGATGAACTAACGGCATTTCAGCGGCAAGCAGCGCAGTCTATGCTGGCGCAAAGTACTCGCATCAAGCAGCAACTGGAGCAGCAGCTGCTAAAGGATCAGCCACTCAACGTGACCATTAAACGTTTTCTAGCCCAGATGGAGGTGCACTTTGAAGAGCTGCAGCTTAAATTGAATGTGCCCAAGATTACCGTTGAGGAAACTGAGCAGCTATGCAACGTTTCCTATGTGCCGGTGTGTATTAGAAATGGCATTGATTCTGTTATACTATCCTTAATATAAATTGCTTTTTATTTGTTTAGCTAAAGCCATCGCTGGAGCGACACTATTGCTCACTATGCGGTCGCCAGGCGCTGCTGGAGCATCAGCTGCTAATGGAGCTTTATGCCCCGAATAGCCAGCTGCTCTGCCCCTGCTGTCATGGAGGATACAACTTGGAGCTGTGGGATGCATAGACATGAACAGTGATGCTCTAAATTCCGATCCCAAATTAAATCTGCAACTTACTATTTTGGCATACCTATTTTTTAAGCTATTCTCTTTTGAGACCTGGCAGATTTGACCAAGTTTCGGAATTTAGAGCATGCCTGTTAAATTTATATTAAACACTTTTTTTATGTGTGTGACTGTGTGTGAAAGTATTCTACTTAGTGCGAATGTATGTGTGTGTGTTTTAGGATTAAACTTAATACAATGAAACATAGATAATGGGAGTGGTCTCCAGCATTAGAATATCCTGCTCAACCTGCCGCAAATCGCTTTCCAGTTTGCGCTTGCGTTGCCGCTTGTTCTCACTATCAATCAGCAAGGACATGGACTGATATGACTTGGTCATCTCATTCAAATGGGCCCGCAAACCCACAAGGATTTCATCACGCTCCGCTTGATCCATGATGCGCATGCCAGGCATTTCTGTAGGAGTGCTGTCGGTACGAATCGGTTGAGTTATAGCTGCTAGCGAATCTGATGGCTTCACGCCACCGCAGATCTCCATGAGACGCGCCTGCTCCTTGCAGCAATCGACATGCAATTTATTCATCAATTTCTTCGTCTTCTTGATGTAAACGGGCACTTGGCCAAAGTCCTTGCGGCACACAAACTGGGGCACCATGCCCGAGTTGAGCAGATTCTGACGCGTCCCACCGGGCGTATCCACGTAGCGTGGTGGCGGCGGACAGCGCACTGTGTTCCGTGCACACTTTATGTTGCGCAAAACGAAATTTGGCACCATATCCGCTTTCTTCATCTTTTTGCCCATCTCGGGCAATGGCGGCATCGACTCTCCTTTGGGACACACGTGCATATTCTCCCGACGCCACTTGACGCCCTGGTTCTTGCGCAGGAAAGCGCACGGCGGATCGAGCGGTACATGGGCACAGCCCATAGTGCGATGATGGGACTTTTTGGCATCGGAGAGCAAACGGACGCCATCATCAAGAACCTGCATCGAATGCTTCTTGTACTCCATGTTTAGACGATCGCGTAATCCCTTCGAGAATTTGGCGGCTTTCTTCGCTGTATCTGGTTGTATATTGTGGACTATAGCGACGCAATGCTATATCGACTATATACTATTTACCTACCATCAGGGTTCGCGAACAAATTCTGCGGCTTTTCGGGCTCGCGCTCCAAGTCGAAGATATTCTCGTTGTGATGTGTAATATAAACCAACGACATTATCTTTACTTCAGCAGAGCTAACTTTTATCACTCAAAATATATCCAAGGCTGCGAAATCTGTACTGTACTGAAAATATTTTGTAATGCTAGTTTGTAGTTAATTTTATAAATGTGTCTATGAAAACAACTTTCTGATGGTTGCCAAGTTTCAAATAATTTTAAAAACTCTGTTGCTACAATACGTCTAGACATGTTGACGTTGCTTTAGCTACCTAACAAATAAAGTGCCAACATGCTTTTTTTTATCAAAAAGCTGTAGTAAAAATAAAAGAATTGCTTAAAATTTTCCATTTAGTTTCCCAGAAAACAAGGATTTTAATTTCGACTCTTTTTCTTTCGCCTATTTTCACCTGCTTCGATTCCAAGATGACCCTATAATTATTTAATGATTAGGAGGTGCCTGCGATTCAAACGCATTCTTCAAAAATCTGCATAGAAATGGCCGAGTTAGAGTTATTTTTCGGAACCGTTTATATATTCCTAAAAGCGTGCTATTTTTTTGGTATTTGCGACTAACAGTTTCCTGTAAAGCAATTATCCTAGCCTATTATTTCATCCTAAAATTATGCATTAAATCTTCCGATTGCTATATTTTTCGGATTTGCGACTACCAGTTTCCTGTGAAGCAATTATCCTAGCCTATTATTTCATCCTAAAAGTGTGCATTAAGTCTTCAGATTTTCTGAGATTGGTATTGTTTACCCCATAAATAATAACAAGCTTGCGCAGAAAGTAGTTCTATAAATGTTGATTTATTAAAGCACAATATCAAGCTACAGCTTGTGTCGCACACGAGTTACGCTTAATACTAATAAAATTGTATATAATTCGTTACCATAAAAAATTCGTGGTGTATATAAATAGCTTCTGTGTGTGTGTGTGTTCGTGTGTGAGCCGGTGTATACGTACATATAAAACAGCACTTAAAAACGTTAAACATGCTTTGATCGCAAGGCTTTTACACTGATTAGCTGTGGTCAAATTTTGGAAATTGGAAGCACAATATAAAAAGACAAAACATCTTTTGTGAGAGACGCATACAGCAGTGGTTAAAAAGCACAAATATGCTCTTAGGATAACACTAACTTATTCGCTATGTAATTAAAATGTATAGATATATATATATATATGTATTTGTATATGGATGTGGAAGTGGAAGTGTAAGTGTGTGTGTGTGTATGTATGAGTGTTTACCGTTTTTTTTATATATGTGTATGAATTATGAATGTCAAAGCCACTTAGAAAATTGCACTGTTTAGAGAGCATTTGTAGGCACTAAAACATATCCGAATAACGACTGTGAATGTGAGTCGTGGCTATCATGGAAAGTGTTGCTCATTTGTTGCCACCGCTCTCGCTGCTCTCCTTGTTGCGTTCCTCACGTACGCGCTTAAACGCCTCCGTCTTGACAAAGTCAACAAAGTTGTAGACAACGCTACTTTGCACTGGAACACGCACCGAGGCCGCATCCGTTGCACCCAGACGCACACTGCTCAGTCCGCCGCCGCCCTGGGAATAGAGATTGCCAACGCTCATGCTTTGGCGATTCAGCATCGGCGGTTTGTTGGTCACATCTAGATCAAAGTATTGCAGCTTGTGCTCCGGCAGTTGCTGCATTGCATTCGGGTTTTGCTTATGTGCCGCAGCAACGCTGGCTGCCACCAACGGTGTTGGTGATGTCATGGCTGCTGCTGCGGAGGCGGTGCGCTGATGCTGCACTGATTGACTGCCCGGGCTGTTGGGATGCTGTCGATGTTGCTGGCGGGGCAGGGTGCGCGTCTCATGGAAATAGCCAGCAGCTGCCGGCGAATGCACATCGGTCTCATGTGGCAGCACCATCGAAAGCGGTGCACCTGAAGACCGCCGCGTTGCCGGCGACATTGTGGCCGAGGAGCCCATCTGCAAATCGATAATATTAACAGTTAGTTTGGCATATAATGGATATATATGGATTGTAGCAACTAGAACGCTCACCTTGTAGGCATTTGGTTTACATTTCCGATCCACGCTGGGCGGCCCACAAGACTGCAGCTTTGTGTTGTACAATTTGCTGATCACCTGCTCCATAGCACCAACTGGCGGCTTGGCAGGAAACTCCTCCGGCGGCCTGTCCTCAACGCTGGACTTATGCGTCGCCTCCGGCGGCAGATGGCCCACCTTCGGCTTCAGCTTGCGATTAACTGGCGGGCAATCGGCCTGCTCAATAAAATCGTAGCGGAATACAGTACCCTCCATTCTGGTGGGCGCTGCATTTGTATAACAATGTTGGCGTGGAAGGGTGCGAGCACTGGTCGGTGAACTGGCTGCCGGCGTTGGATGGGGCGCATTCTGACAGAGATTGGGTAGAGCACTAGCGCATGCATCTGCCATAAGGTTGGGCGTGGAGGCCGCAATGGGATTGGTGTTGTGCGGACTGGTGACGGGTCGCTCATTCAACAGCTGCCCCACATTGCAATAGGGCAACTGATGCGAGCGTGGAATGTCATAGCTCTCTTCGATCAACGACGAATTGGCATGGCGAGCCGATGCCACAATCGCTGGCGATGTGTTCTCCGTATCCGACAGCTGCGGCAGGTCACGTGGCAATCTAATAAATAAAAGCGACTGATTAAACAAAAGACTCTTACTTCAGCTGCAATCTAAATAATAAATACTTTTCATTGTCCTTAAAGTCCAGTATGAGATTATTTTTGTTCTTCAACACCTTGGCTAATCTCTCCAGCGTGTAATGCTCACCAGCACCATCCGCTGCTGTTGCTGATATTGTACCCGGTTGCTTTGAGTGCTTGTCAACTGCTGTGGTCGCCAAGGCAACACCATCTTCAGGCATTTTGGAGAAGCGCTGCGAATAGGTCAGCACAAAGGACTCATTTTCAATGGAGCTATCCGAGGGACGTGTGCTGCGATCTATAATAGATAGAGAGGGAGAATTGTGAAAATCTTCATCTCCGAGTCCATATATTATATGAATTCATAATCATAACCATTTTCTTGACTCACCAACATTCTCGCGTAGCGGCAACGGATGCGTCCACTCGTCATCATCAGTGAAAACGCTCTCCGAGTCGGAATCGGAACGTTGACTGCGCTGCTTGCTGCTGGCATTCGCCATTTGTTGCTGTAATGTCCAGCAATTAGTGATTGCAATTTTTCAAATAGTTGAGAAACTTACCAAGCTGCAGTTAGTTATTTTGGGTGAATAGGATTGATCGTTGGTCAGGTTGAGACCAATGTTGTTGTGACTTCGCGGCGTATCATAGAATTTGGGATCCAAATTGTTCAGAGCACCCGCCGCACTGGCATGACTGTCTAGCAACAATTTGGGGCTGCCCGTAAAGCACTCACTAATGGGTATATACGGCCCGGAGGCGGTGCTTAGAGCTGGTGAAGCCTGTACACTGCCATGTTGCTGTTGCTGTGCCATGGCCTCCGACAGAGTCTGCTGTGTTAGCACCAAATGCTCGGGCAGCTTACGCACAACTCCATTCGCATTGATCGCAAGCCGAGCGGCAGCTGCTTGAGCCTGAGCCTGCTGCTGCTGTTGTTGTTGTTGCTGTTGTTGCTCGGCGACTGCTGCCTGTGCCTGAGCCTGAATCAGCGCGCTTTGATTCAAATAGAGCGCTGTGGCAGGCGACGGCGGCGGCTGTTGCTGTGCCGCCAACAGCAACTGTTGCTGATCAAAGTGCGCATCGCATAGCAATGTCTCTCGATTATTGTAGTCTGTATTCACATAGACCGAATCCGAGTTATTGTTGGTCGAGCTCTGCGGCTGCTGATCGATGACCACCGGACGACGCAGCAGCGAACTGGCCGTCGTGCCCGCCGAGGAGTGCAGCGATGTCGTTGTTGTATTCTGGGTGGAGTTGCTCAAAGCGCCGCTGGAACTGGTGTGCTGCTGTGCACTGCGATTATCATCTGGAAAATGGAAAAGTGGTTAAAGTGAAAGTGCTTGCAACGAGTTTTAAATGATTGGTTTCTTTTGTGCACTTACCTGCTGCTGCGGCCGCTGCTGCTGCGGCCGCTGCTGCTGCTGTGGATGTTGCTGTGGCGCCCAGTGGCAGCTCATTGGATTGCTTGGTGTCATGCAGATGGCACACCTGACAGATGCAGTTCACCCAGTCGCGCATGCTCGCTTCCGTCTCGGCGGCCAAGTAATATGTGCGCTTTGGCGTCTTAATATCGAACATATACTGAAATTTCTGTTTGCGATTCTCGAGACGCAGACCGCAATCGACTTGCTCGCATTGATCCAGATCTATGACACCCTTCAGCTTGCGGCAATATTGATCCGTATAATATTCAAGGCAAAACTGCTCCGGTATCTCGCCCTGTTTCAAAGTAAACCACCGACGGCGCCAGCGCTGTAATACAAAAACACAACACAAAAAAAACAAGAGTTTCCACTCGATAAGCGCACGGTCAACGGGCAATCGGACAGTTGGATAGTTGGACCGTCAGTCGGTAAACATATGTATGATATGATACGTTCACTGCATGACTGCGAACAACAACAGCAGCACCAGCAGCAGCAACTATCAGCAGCGGTGACTAAGCGACGCCTTGTTTGCTGTTGACGTCGCTGCTTACTGCGCTGCTGGCGTTGCTGACAGCTTTTCCGCGAAACGCATTTACATTGGCATTTTCTTGAGCAATCAGCAGTTCACAACCACACCAACATCCACACCCACAATTCGCATTGCCACACAAACAGCTGAACTGGGGGACAGACAACGAGTCTGTTGACTCCCCAATGAGCTGAGCCCTCTTTACACCTCTTTCTATTTACACCGCAGCTCATCAAGATAAGTGCAGGTAAATTGTTATTGCTACCTTATAGTTTTTTACGGCCGTGCTGCTCTCGCCAGCTTAGCTTCTGCACGCATTAAGTAATTAGTCTCAGTTTTTTAAGCAGGTTTTTAAAGCGCGAATTAAGCGGCTCATTAAAAAGTCGGAAGTCGGATGTGTCACGATCTACTGATTGGCAATAAACCATCTGCTTTGTAGGCATAAAAAGACAGAGCTTTAGTCAAGAGATTTTGACCGACATATACCCTGTAAGCTTTTCCAAAATCGAAACTATAACAATTGTTATGATTAGCTTTCAGATTTGCCCGAATGCCTTTTTAATCTGATTAAAATTGTTTACATTGCCCATAAGCCATAAGCTTGATTGAAAAATGTTTTATAATTGAGTAAATAGAAAATCTACTATTTTTTTTATAAAAATTCTTGTTGATCGACAAGAACTGGAAGAATGCCAAATTATTGGTAGAAAAATACCAAGATCAGTGCCAAATACCCTTCCATTATTCATCGGGTATTTGAGGAACTTTGCTGGCTTACTTATGTGATTCAAGAATTATGTTTTGCAGATGATACATTTGAAAATTGAATGATTCACTGCTGTTCCCCACTGCCACACAGGTCATAATTTATGGATGTTGCAGCAGCAGCAGCAGCAGAATACGAAGATGAATCGTTATACATTTCTTATCTTCTGCCTTAGCGATTATTGTGAACATTTTAGGGTATATGCGTTTCTACTATCGCTTTTCTTAATGGGTTTCGACAGACAAATTTGCATTGTTGTCTGCACAGTTTCACGCTTAATTCAATTATAAACAATAAACATAATGCCACACACAACATGGTCGAATTGGCACCCTGTGGCTCATCAAAATTCAAACAAAACAAGATAATAGCAACAGTGAAGAGCCGAATATTAAATACCCTAGTGGTTAATGATGTAATTATGCATAGCAAGATTCATAATGCATTTATAAATCAACAAAGTGTTGCATATTTAGTGATGAAATCGTACTACTCCCAGTAAGAGTATAAGAGAGTGAATGGGGATGGACATATGCTATATGGCATGTATAACCCCTATAAAAGGGCTTGCCTTAATAATAATAATAATAGACCAAGACAAAAAAACAGCAACAACAATAATAACAATAACAACAACAACAACAAGTGCGTCATTGTTTTTGTGCGCGCTGTGTGGCTTCTTATCGCCTATAGACATGTTTATGTATATTGTTATTTATTATGTGCACGCATACATATAAATCGGATATATGTATGTATATATATATATATGTATGTAAATACATACGTACGTACGTGCTTTGTTGATCGCGTAATTTAATACGCAACGGCGCTTAACGGTTAGCGCAGGGTAAACATTTAATTAAGCGTCAACTTTTCAATGCAGCCACACAAAAATATTCCCACGCCTTAAAAGCGAAACATACACAGTAACAGTAAATACACGCGCACACACACACACATATACATATATATATAAATATATATATAAGCTCATTCACAATTTACAAATTTGTAGCAACAACATTTGTGTTTGCGGTTTTTAGCTTGTTTTGCTTTTCAATCACTTCTGAAGCCTTTTCCAGCAACATCAGCGGCAACAACAACACCAACTCGGATATCATCAGCCATGCAGTTCGTGCCCAGCCCGTCAGCCGCTTATTAATGAATTAAAAATGATTATCGGACACACAACACAACAACAAATGATCACACACACACACACTAACACACTCTCTTCCACACACACACAGACCGTAATTGTATATATGAAAAAAAATGCTACTGGTTGGTGCGTTCTTTGTATGACTCAGTGTAGGAACCGAGCGGAAAAAACAGTTAACTGCTCATTTCTTGCTGTTGTTGCTATTGCTGTTGTTGGCTATTTTACCGTATGCTGTGCCTGCAGCTTGCAAATTGCACATTTGACTGACCATTTGGTATTTGCATTGAGGCTAATGGCACAAACAAATATATATACGGTTTGCTTTTAGCCCTTGGGTCAATAAACTTACAGCACGCCAAATGCGCTTGGATGGCGGTGATTTTATAAGCCATCCTTCGTGAAATGTGCTATCCATTGTTTATTTATCGGCAGCGATTATTTATAACAAATTCCCGTTTATTTATTTCACAGTCGTCCGCTCACAACAACGCACCAACACTCGCGCATTTATTTTCATTATCTGAATACCAGCCTAACAGCGATACAAAATTATTTAACATGTGCTGCAATGTTATTTAACAGCGTGCGCCTATAATTTCCCGACAAATCAAAAGATCGTATTGCTTGGTATTTTTTTTAATTACCTAATTTTATAATTATTGCGAATGTTGTTGTGCGATAAGCTTGTTATGTGGACAAACAATAATTGAGAAGCTAATTTGAATTTAACAGCCACAAAATCACTGTGCAGAATATAGGCATAAAATAAACTTAACAGCATCGGTCACTGTTGTGATTTTCGCCGCATTTATCGAGGCTGTTAAGCATCAGTCGTGATCTGTTTGGATTTATTTGTTTATACAATTTTAATTTTGATTTATCAAGTGCATTTAATTATGGTTCGATCCACATAAATAAATAATTTGCGTTGGGCGCTATGTGCACCGTTCGATACATTTACGACGCATTGGCAAGTCGATAATATACACAATGCATTTTGTGGATTATCGATAATCCCGTTTAATAAACAGTGGAGCCTCACTATAAACAAATTTTTTGTTTCATAAATTTACTAGACCCATAATAAAACAATATTTTGTAAAGAGAACAACAACTAATGTATGACATTTGTTTAGAAATAATTTTTTATTCCGTCGCGTCAATTGCATGTTGACCACATACAGCATTTCCATATACAATTAGCACAATTTTACCGATATCAGACGGAACTAGTTCCACTTCCCCGATGCTTATTTGTCCTTGGCATCGCCCTTGCCACCACGAATCCTACCAGTACGACGGGCAGCAATGAGACCGACCTTGCGACCGGCAGACGTGCCACGCTTGACTGTAGAGGCCTTGCCAATATGTTGATGGTTACCACCACCGTGGGGATGCTCAACGGGATTCATGGCAACACCACGCACCTTTGGCCAGCTGTTGCGTTTCACCTTGTACTTGTGGTAGGCACGACCGGCCTTGAGGATGGGCTTGTCAATGCGACCGCCGCCGGCAACGATACCGACCATGGCGCGATTGGCCGATGGCACCACCTTCTTGGCGCCCGACGGCAGCTTGACACGGGTCTTCTTCGTATCCTGATTGTGGGCAATCACAGTGGCATAGTTGCCCGAAGTGCGCGCCAAACGGCCACGGTCACCGGTCTTCTCCTCCAGATTACAGACAATGGTACCCTCGGGCATCTGGCTCAGAGGCATCACGTTGCCAATCTGAAGAGTGGCCTTGCGACCACAGTAGACGAACTGGCCGGTGTGCATGCCCTCGGGGGCGATGAACAACTCCTTGCGGATCTTGTAGCGATAGGGATCGCGGAAGTGAACGACGGCCAAAGGAGCACCACGACCAGGATCGTGAATGATGTCCTGAAATATACAAAACAAAATCAGTTAGCATAGTCCAGTGTTGCCATATTATTCAAGAAAATGAGAAACTTACCTTGACGACGCCACGAATGTAGCCAGAGCGCTCGGCAAAGTCCAGAGAGCGCAGCTTGGCGGCTCCCTTGCGCTTCTTGACGTGCGCCTTGAAGACGGAACCGGCGCCCTTACGCTGTGCACGAATTACACGACCCATTTCTATTTGAGAAGGAAAGAAACAACACAATTAATTGCGATTCATATTATGCCGCACTGTCATCTATCACAAATATCGAGTGCATGTGCAAGTTTAGTCATTATGCTAAACATATTGTTTATTATTTATTGCGGATGTTGCAGCTGTGGCTTTTAATTTTTCGATTAACATTTCAGCAGCCGACACCTACCGATGCTCGGGTAAAAAAGAAAAGAGAGAAGAGGAAGAAACACACAAATTGTCAAATCTTTGACAGACAGCGCTGCCAACTTCACGCTGTTTTCCGTCAGCTGTTCGTACCAATTCAGTGTTGTAAGACATACGCAGCATGTATCGCAAATCGATTAAAAGTGCCCACACATAGATATCGAAAATACTCAAGTTTGAATTGCAGTTGATTTTGTTTATTTTTTTTTGTAATTTTGAGATTATATATATAATTTTTTTACGATTTAGATTTACATTCATTTCATCATCATCAATTTACTTTTTTATTTTAGAAATAAAGTAAGCATTTTATTACTAATTCGGTTTTTTAATTGCATTTTAGTGCATTTTTGTTTAAAGAACATTATTAAATATGGGGAGAGGGGGGTCATTGGGGTATACATTTATTTTCTTTTATAACACAAAAACAAACAATATTTTAAATATTTTTTATTGAGACGGGTAGGTGTTTCAATCATTTTTTGTTTTTTTTTTTCTTTTCTTTTCATAATTTTTGCTTAGGGAGGGACGCACATGAGAAAACAACACAAAACAAGGGAAGAATAATTCATAATATTTCAGCATTTTGGCTGCCAGCATAATTTGACATATGTATGTAAATATGTATTGCAAGTTGTATTTTGTTTGTTTTGTTGTGTGCCGATCGACAGAATGTTATAGAGAAAGAATGTGTATGTATATTGCAACGTAGCCATTTTAATTAATTAAGCTTAAAACTTGACCACACACACAGGAATCGTGATGAGAAAGAAACAAAACAATAGTAGACACTAAGAAAATGCACAGCACACAAGCGAGTTCATAATTATCATCAATCATCATCATCATCGTTATTATCGTCTCTAATTGAGGAATTTTCAATTTTAACATGCTAGCTTTTTATAGAATTTCGTTTCATTGCTTTCTTTTTCTTTTCGTTTTTTTTTTTTTTTTGTTTTTTGTGTTTTGTTTTTTAAGTTCTGTATAAAAGTTCAGTAAAAAATGCAGCTTAACTAGGTTCATCGAATTACACTCCAATCATGTAAGTTTAGTTGTCGTCTTCAATATTTGACATACATACGCATTTTAAATTATATAATTTTATGCACTCTCAATCAATTGTCTCATAAGTAGGTTCAAAATTTCGTTAAGCATATTTGTTATTTGCTTGCTTGCTTGCTTTTTTGTGGTTGTTGTTTGTGTTGCTTTCTGGTTTTTTGTTTGTTGTTGTTTATTTTACACATATCCATCAATCATAATTGTTGCGGCGTTTTCTAATAACATTTTGTTTTGTTCAGCTCTCATTTATAATATTATTTACTTGCTTGTTTTTATCACTTAGTTTTTACAATGGCGCTTTTTGTTTTGTTGTTTTTTTCTTTTTCTTTTCTTTTCATAAAAATGAGCATACAGAGACATTATTTTATATATTGGTGATATAAATGTAAATGTTGCTTTGCTCTTTAGCACTAGCTCGAAACGCACAAATCAATATCTAATAGATTGTTACCGATATCTTTTGTGTGTCAAAGATCAATCAACAAATTGCATATTTTTATCTCTCACACAATTCGATAATTTTCTTTCGCTTTTGCTGCGTTGCTTTTGCTTGTTAACTTAAGTTTAACTTGTAGGCGAATTATAATAAGTAGAAAACAACAATGCACACAATTTTTAAAAATGACATTTGAAATGAAATTGCTGTGTGTATAAGTTCTGTGGGTGTGGCTGTGTGTGGGTGTGTGTGTGGAGTGTACGTGTGCATAGTACAAATTAATTGCGATTTAGTTATGTAATCTTCATTATACATATATATCTGTCTATGTCTGTCTCCTCGTCAAAAAGTATCGGTTACGAATAAACAACTTTTATATGACGTTCATCTCGTTCCTAATTCTGTTCTTCTAATGCAAAAAAAAAAAACCTCGTCGAGTGAGCTTTTCCATTATCTTTTTGCATTTCTTTTTCGTTTTAAATACATTATTTTAACGCCCGTTTTAAAATTGTGCACTCCAATTGATGAGTAACATTTATACATAGCACATTTACTAATTGAAACGTTCTCCTGGGTTAAATTTCATAAGCACATGTTTACGAGTGTGTGTGTGAGAGTGTCTGTGTGTGTGTGTGTGTGTGTATAGAACGATCTCACTTAAGAATTATGAACTTTTTACTTATACGAGCTAAGGTGTGTGTGTGTGTGTGTGTGCGAGAGTGGGTTTGTAAACGTTCTCTTTAGATATTTTTTGTAGCTGTTTTATAGCTTGTAAAATAAGAAGAAAATGTTTTTTGTTGTTTTGAATGTTGGATCATCGATGGATCAGAGTTGCCAAGTTCTTTACGGAAGGGTGTGGTTCGTTAGTTATTCATTTAACCAATTACCAATTGGCCATGCCCGGCTTGTTGAGCGTCATGAAGTAGATTTGACACGAGGAAGCACCTTTGGCACTGCTGAAGAATACTTTGTCATTGCGCTCGCAAAGGAATTTCAAGCGCTGCGCCTTCTTGTGCATAAACACACCATCCAAATGGCCGCTTTCAACGGAACGTATCTGAGGTGTAAAGTGAATATTGGATTATTTCTAATTCGATTCTGAAGAAACACATTCAGTGCGCACCTCTATTGCTTTATTGCCCCAGCCCATAATCTGTCCAGTGCCAATGTAGGCCACCGAAGTGGGCATCTCGCCCCACTGTAAAATGAGAGAGGGGAAAAAGAGATTGATTAAAATCGAAGTTTTATCATTATCGTTGTTTGTCACTTGCCTGCAGCACAATGTTCTTGGATACACGTCCGCCAGTGTTCACATAGACGCCTTCATTGTCATAGCACAGCAATAGTTGCATACCGTTTGAATTTGGAAGCGCCACAATACAATGCGGAATGATTGCACCCTGAGTCTGTGGTTGGAATTTCGCATTTACTGGATATATCCAATCAGTAGTTGTATGGCATGCGGCACCACTTACATGCTTAGGAAGATATATATCGTATACTTCAGCCGAATCTAAATCAACTGCATGGAAACCCTCGGCGGAACCGTAAATCACTTTCAGTCGCGACTGATCCTCAATTGTGAGATCGACCAAAAGGGGGCGATGTTCCAGTTCACCAAAATTCTAAACATATATTCAAATATTTCATATATATATATATATATTAGTAAGAATATTCCAATCGAATACTTATTGAAATCACCTTAAATGCCATAAATTTGTGATATGGTTTGGGCGCCCATGCATAAATTTCAATTGAGTCTTTTAATGCAATCACTAGGAACTTAATCCTCTCGTATTTGACAATCTTAAAATGTACAGCACCTTGTAGATCACCCACATTTATCCAACCATTGCGACGCTCCACTTGCTGTACGAATTTAATAAACAAAAGCGAAATGAAAGCAAAAATTAGTATTACAATCGCGTACAGTTTTTTACCGACATTCAACTTACATCGGAGAGTCCATCGGTGCGCAAGATCTTAGACTTCAGCCAGGACAAATAATAGACGCGCACCCGATTCTTTTTACCGGATATGGTAACCAATATATTTTGGCCCTCTAGCACCTCCATCTGTTGGAAACGGCGACGCGAGATAAGCTGATAGACCTGTTCACACACGAAACGAAAGCGAAAGAAAGAAGAGGGGAGATTAATGGGTGTCCTTAATGTCCTTATTAGTTATTCGATTATTGGCACGTACCTTGCCCTGACCGGAACGATCGAGCAGCATGAGTCCATTCTCGGTGCCAATCAGTAAATTGACGCCCCAGAGCGCGGCGCACAGAATCTCCGAGTTGAAGCGTTTCTTATACTTACGTATCTCGGGCGTATCGTTGGCCACCTCGTGCGATGTGGGCGTCACATTCACATTGACGGTCGACTCCCGACGGGTCGGACCCGAGCCGCCGGCACCGAAGCCGAAGGTGAGAAAACTGCGTTGTTTCTGTTGCAACGCATAAGCGTGCGGTGGCAAGTGTGACGAGATGGCGGACGCATTCGATGTTGACGAGCAGGGCGTCAGGTGGTGAATGTTCGCGGAGGAGGAAGAAGCAGATTTATGCAATAAATTAGTAATACTGCTGGAAGAACGCGTTTTACTAATCGAATTCTTTGGCGAATTTTGGCGCGAATTCGATGTCGATGAGGCCAGCGATATGGTTGATTGTGGTGAATTATTTGTGCTAATAATTACACCACCGACAACGCTGCCGCCGCCATGACCGTGGCCGCCAACGCCGACGGCGACGCCTCCGGCGGCGCTGCTGCTGCTAGCGATAAACGATTTCGATGGCGTGGAATGCACGGATGAACTAATGGCCGCTTGATACTTTATATTTGATTGATTGATTGATTGATTGTTTGATTTATATTTGTTTGGATTTGTTTTTTTTTTTTTTTTTGGTTTTTGTTTTGTTTTGTATTTGTAATTAAAGAGAAAAGAAAATAGAAAAAGTGCAAGAAAAAATTTCAATTAGTCTTCGAGTTGTCAACAAAATAAATTCATTAATAAATTAAACATGCTGAGTGGGAATTGGTAGGCAGTGTTTGTTTGTGTGTGTGTATGTGAGTGTGTGTGTGTGGGGGTGGTTAAATATTGAGTGCTGCTTATGCTAGCGACGATTAAAAAAATAAATTAATTAAACAATAGCCAAAAATATGCTTGCAGAGCTAAGAAATGAGTGTAAAATGTTAACAATAATATAAGTTAAATAAAATGTGATTAGTCTTTCCCCGGAGGCCAATGGTAAAAAAAATCTTTAACAAAAAGTTTATATTGATTTGTGTGTGGTGTATAAGTGTGTGTGTGTGTCTGCGTGTGTAGAAAAACAATAAGAATGAGAATACAGGTTTTATGAGGATCATTGCCCTCTGCGTGTCTGTTATATGTACAGTGCGTTAACAGCGCTGCTGACAAAACGAAATGTTAGTGACAGTGACATGAAGCTGCCTGCTATGCAACACACAATATGAATGGTAGAGCGACAGAGACAGAAAGAGAGAGAGAGAGAAAGAAGTAGAGAGCGAACACAGTGGAACGCATTGGTGCATTTCGCTAGCAAATAATAATAATAATATATTGGAAATATGTATTTATGTACAAGAGATAGCTAAAACAAAAGGCATTCCTGGTGCGATACTGTATAATTTGAGTTGAGTACTTGAAGAAGCCCTGCACATTTAAGAGTATGTACAATAACACATGACACATATATACAAATTAAATAAGATTGTTGTTTGGAAAAAGTAAAACTATTCACAAAAGTTTGGTAGTTGTTGGGAGTTGGTATACGTTTTTTTTTTTTTAGATTTTTAGAAAGAGTATTTTTTTTGTTTTGGTTGGTGTTTGAAAACTATTGCTTTTTGATGTTTGTTGTTTTTCATACTTACTATTGTAAATTTTGGTTTGTTTGTAATTGATTTGTATTTTGTAATTTGTTAGAATATATCGTAGTGGCCATCAGCTCAAACGTTGCGGAAAGACAAAGCACAATTAAGAAGAAGAAAGTGTTTGTAACGGTTTTTTTTTTAATTTGGTTAAATTTAAAAATTCATTTGGTTTGATTCATTAAAAAAAAAACAACATGCACTTATAAAAGCTGCAACTCAACTTGCATGCACATTTTGTAATTTTCAATTATTTCGGGTTTATTTTTTTATATTTTTTTTTTGGAAATTCTCGACCAATTTAGTTAGATGTATGTAATTTATTTGCATGGATAATTTTTGCTTTCGTTACGCGCTCTTCATAATGAACTTTGCTCCACGTCAAAGAAAAATGTTTATGCTAAGATATTCTTTTGGATTAGTCACATTTAAGGGAGGGGGTTAGGCAATTTTGAATAAGTCAGTATAATTTTGTTTAAGGCACAAAACGTATTAAACATATAGGAAACAAAACAAAAAGGATATTTTTACTACAATACGTTTCTTATGCGAAACATTTGAAACGTATCTATTTTTCCAACAACTGTGAAAACACAAAGTGCTTGAAAAGCAAAAATTCATTTGATTTCGTGAGAGATTGCTCCATTTACTTTTTTTTACTGCAACCCACAAGGGCAAAAGAATTTGCAAATGACATTAAAAACGATGCATGACTCTTGATTAATAGTTGGTATTTTTTTCTTTCTTTGATTATGCGTAGGACAGATAACAAAAAAAAAAAAGAAAACAAATAACAAAAACTGGCAACTCGAAAACGCTGAGTTGAGTTGAACGCACAAAACACACAATGAAAAATCGAATCGGTTGAGATAAATAATAATAGGGGTATTAATAATGGGACGACGACTGAAGCGCTACTCACCTCCTCACTGGATGATTTATCGTGGCGCGGCGGCGTTGCCGGCGATGCCTGGCTGAGTAGATCGGGCAGAACGCTGCTGGTCCGGGTGCCGGGTGTGCCAAGGCCACTGTTGTCCCCACCAGCGCCGCTGCCAGCTACCCCGCGATTCTGTCAGAGGGAGAGAAGGAAATGGAGAAAGAGAGAGGGAGAGAAATTACGTTTAAATGCATATGAGAAAAGTTTGCAATCAAAAGTTTAAAATGGACGTAATAAATTTGAGAAACAAAACATTTGGAAATGAAATTAAAACGAGTCAAATGGGTTATAAATGCTTTTTTTTTTTTGTTTTTTTGTTTTTTTTTTTGAAAAGGTAATACAACAAAAAGTAATGAATAAACAACAAATTGAAGGAGTCATAAAACAGATAGACAAATAGAGACAGACTCAAAGAGAAAGCAAAATGAATGCCAATGAGATACTTAAGGATACTGGAGACGCCTACAAATTCTTCTATTCAACGTTGTAACACTAAAAAAAAGCTTACAAACTAAAACATAAAGTTTTTTCTTTTTTTGTTTCAAAATTGCTTTAAAGCTAGAGCACTCAGTGCTGTTTGAACAGTAGTGCTGGGAAGAGGAGTACAAAGCACTTAAAATTAGTTTAGTTTTGTTTAGCACAACTTTCTCGAGGGGGGAGGTGGTTTTTATTTTCTGCACAGCAGGCAAAAACGTTGCTCAATTTGCAAACATCAGAAAACTTGAGGATGGCTTTTAATTCAATTAACAATTTGAACTGTAGGCTAACCAAACCAACAAACTTTTCGAATTCCGCATAATTTAAAAGCTTTAAAACAATTTTGAGCTAATGAATGAATTTCGGGCAAAGCGAAGCAACAAATATTTAAAAGCATTTTTTACTCGGTCTTGGGTAAATCATTCTAAACATTGGTATATCTCAAACTAATTTTTCCATATGAAAATTAACTTTTACCAAACATATTTCTAACCATTATTTTTAATTGAATTATAATACATTTTGGTTTATTTTCAGCTTATTTCCTACATAATATCAATTTTAAGCTAATTTCACCCTGAGGTAATCACGTTATTTACAGATACGGTACAATAAGCTTAAAAGTTAAGCCTGCTATGTGATTTTTCTTTTCAATTTTAGCATCTCATTAGCATTCGATACTTTTGTTTTTATTTTGATGGTAATATTATATACATCGAATGGTAAAACACCTTTATTATTGGATAAATACTTCGATATTTGACCGTCTACCAAGATGCGTTTGTATTATGCATAATAAGTCAAGTTGTTATAATTCAAACAGCATTTAAATATCGTTTAGTGACTTTCGAAGCAGACCGCAAATGGCACTAAGTGGTGAGTTATGCGTATTACTTATATTATTATGAATGTTATATGTTACCATTTAGAATTAGTTGATGTTTCTGATGAGAAAACCAGATGCAAATGAAATAATAATAATAATAGTAAACATGCCTGGGATGGTCAGAGCAAAGATAGGAAAGAGAGAGAAAACAGCATACATAATAAGTACACTCAGCGAATTTTCGATTATTATAATTTGCTGTCAAATATCACTTATATTTACGAGCTGTTAGTGCAATGTTATTAACAGTATGCGGCTTGTTTGTACATGTGTAAACAGCAGCGTGGGCGCTGTCAGGTGAGATCAAACAACAGAGAAATGGAGTGCAGATTGAGATGCGAGTAAAAGATATATATATATATAGAAAGAGAGAGAGCGAGCGATACATATATGTGTGTGTGTGAGTGTGTGTTTGTTGGTGGGTGTGTGGCGGTGAGTATCGGAATTCTAGCCAAATGGTAAATTTTATTTGCATTACGCTTGGTTTCTCTTTTTTTTATTTTTGGTTTTATTTTTTTTGTGATTTTGTTTTCAAGTAGTTTGGTTTGGTTTACGTTTCTGGCGCCAAGACAAAACACAATAAATGAACGATATATATTTGAATAGTTTTTTTTTTCATCTGATGCTTTGTTCTTTTTGTTTGTTTGTATTCTTTTTTTTTTTTTTGATGCGTGCGAGCTGAGAACGTTTACCTGCTGCTGCGGCTGTAGCTGCTGTTGTTGTTGTTGTTGCTGTGGCTGTGGCTGTAGCTGTAGCGTTTGCTGTTGTTGTTGCTGCTGCTGCTGATGTTGCTGCGCACGCGCCGCTGCATTCTGCAGCACAATGACAGACTCAGTCTTTTCGCGACGCGGACGCAGAAAATCAAAATTGACCCAGTTGGACTTTGTGAGCGCTGCTGCTGCTGTTGTTTTTGCTGTTGCTGCGGCTGCTTTGTTGCTGCTGGCAGTGGACGTTGCTTTGGTCTTATTAACAGCAACAGCGGCGCCAGCTGCTGTCAGCGTGCTGTTCTCCTTACTGCTGCTGCTGCTGTTGTAAATGCTGTTCCTTTGGTACATGGCACTCGCGCGCTGCTGCTGCACAAGTTGTGGCGACTGCAGCTGAGCAGAGGCAGCGCTGGCATTGTTGGCAGCGACGCTGCCACTGAGCACAGCCGAATGGCGTTTTGTTAACGGGAAAAAATCGGAATTCTCGCGCCGAAAGCCACGCACAAAACTGGGCAACTTTGAGTCAGACTCCTGTCGCTTGTGCTGCTGCTGTGGCTGCGTCTGCTGCTGCTGTGTGGAGCTGCTGCGCTCTTTGGCAATGTTGACCCCAGCCGTGGAACTGGCGCCTTTTAGCGGCTGATAGCCTTTGGGCACGGGACGTGCTATGGCCTCCGCGACACTGGCTCGCTGCAGCTTCGCCTCCACTTTCAGTGTGCTCAAATGCGAGCTGCGACTGAGGCTGGCTGTGGTGCTGCTACTGCTGCCGCTGCTGCTGCTGCCAGCGCCAGCACCATTGGGTCTCTTGGGAAAGAACTTATCAAAGTCCCAGTCGCGTAAGAGTTTCGCGTCTTCGGCTCTCTTTGGCGCATGCGAGGTGGAAGCGGATTTTTGTAAGCGATTTACGTTTTGTTCTAATTTCTGTTTACAGTTGTTCATGTAGATGTGGTTGTCGTTGTTGTTGTTGTACAAATAATTGTTGTAGTTGTGAGTAACAGCGCAAGAGAAGAATTGTTGTTAGGTTTCGGTTGCATTACATTTCTACAGTCTAAATTTGTTTCTTGCCCAGGGTATACAACAAAAAAAAACCGCTTGTAGCATGGAAAGTTTTTCATGAATTCTCTGATTGCATTGCATTCCATATAATATTGATTTTTATGAGATATTCTGGGTATTTGTATTTGCTTGTGGGGAGGAAGGGTGGATAGTAATGCACGTAGTGGTGCAAAGGTGTGTTTACAATACATAAATATACAAATATATAATGTCAAGTTCTGAAACCAGTCGGATGCACTTCTTCGACGCCTACCTTTGATATATTATCTATACACAATATGTATATGCATTTATGAAATTATTAAAGCTGGAAAACGATCTGACAACATTATCTGTTTCTATTACATATTAGTTAATCGATATTCATTTGTTTTCGATTCATTTGTCATCGACTGTTTTCCAGCTCTCGAGTATGTAGATGGAATGTGCCCGTGTAAACATTCTATTGCACCAGTGCATATATCATTTTCATACAAAACATACAAAAGTTAAAACCGAAAATCATTTTTGAAAGTAAATCGAAAATTGTAGAACTAAATATATATAGTGACATATTCAGATCACATGGATCTCTCATGTCCACACACACACACACGCACAAGCCAGACATAAACAAACAAACACTCACATATACACCCGTACCCAGCTGCAAGCAAAATAGCTGATGCTGCAAATAATAACAGTTCAGTTGCCAACCGAAAAACGCGCAACTGAGTGAAGAAGTTACGATCACGCTGCATTTGTCAACTCAGCAGTTCCCACGCTGGACGACGAAAAGAATATCCATATAAAGCAGCACATTCAGTAATTAAGTTAGTCACATTTTGTACTCAATAGTAAGCAGTCACATTTTGTACTCAATAGTAAGCAGTCACATTTTGTACTCAAAAGTAAGAAGTCGTGTTTTCAATAAAATTATATTTTTTTATTCTAAACCGTTGTCCGACTTTCAATTGGCGCAGCCGGTAGGATAACAGCTAATTTTTTTTTGTGAAACGTCGTGGTCCTATCACAGGAAAACGTACTAGTGTTCCGCGATAAAAACTGTTATCCGCATAAGGACCTCGTGATCCTTAAAAAACTTTTTTCTAAAAAGTAAAACGCGAGACAGACGACAAAGAATTTTTTCTCAAACAAACTTTCAAAACTCAAAACAAAAAAAAAAAAATAAAATAATAATAAAATGATGTTGGAGACACAATTAAACCAAGCACTCGGGCAAATCCGCCAAGTGCCAATCTTCAATGGAGAAACGGACGAGCTAGGAGCCTTTATTGGAAGGATCGATTTTATTATGGAACTCTTCCCAAGCGTGGACGCAAAACAAAAACTGATTATGTACAGCGCGATCCAAATGCAGTTAGAGGGAGATGCAATGAGGACATCGCTGAGGCACCTACCAGGAGATTGGGGAGCACTACGAAGCGTACTGATCTCCACTTTCAAGACCCAAACACCTTGTGAGGAGCTACTGAGAAGAGTCTACAACACATATTTTGGTGGAAGTATCCGTAAGTTCCTCGAAGAACTCGAGCAAAAATCCTTTGTAATATTAAATAAGTTAGTAATAGAAAATAATGCAGAAAATAAAACATTGTACTCAAATGCATTAAAAAATACGGTTAGAGATGTTATACATAAAAGACTACCAGACAGGCTATACATGCAGTTAGCCAGATATGATATACCAACAACCGATAAATTAAAAGCAGTAGCCCAAGAATTAGGTTTATACGAAGACCGCATACCAGAAAACCCAAAATCTGCAAATAACACCCATTACAATAAAAATAATAACAAATATTATCCAAAAACTCAATCAAATTACAACCCAAATTATAATCAGAGTTTCAGGAATCAACAAAATTATAATACAAATTATAGAAATCAAAATTCACAAAACGAACCAATGGTCAATAAACAATTGTATAACGAATATCAACAAAAATTAAATCAAGGCAGAATGCAAAACCCAATTAATTATCAATCAGATTGTAACAATACCAGACCACCTAACCAACCCACTAAAAGACAAAGACCTAGTAATAGTGGACAATCAAAAATGGAATGGGCAGAAAATGTTCATCAAACAGCCTCGGAAACAAACACAGAACCCCATTCATAAGAATAATTATGAATAACCAACAAATGCGATGCTTAATAGATACAGGGTCATCAATAAATATGATGAATAAAAATTTCTTTAATTACCCAACTTTTAAAGAGAATATTACTTGTCAAACCATAAGTGGAGAAATAAAATTAAATACCAGCATATCATTAGCCCCTAGCAAACTGTGTCCAACAGATCAGAAGTTTTACATACATAATTTTTCCAAAAATTTTGACATCCTCTTAGGCCGAACGTTCCTTAAGGATTGTAGAAGCGTGATCAATTACGAAGACGAATTTGTTAAACTTAATAATTTTCAATTTTTATTTAAATATAATAACGAAAATAAGGAAGAAGAATATAAAGACCCACTACTAATAAAAGATATACATACAGCATACGCATTGGAAAACGAATTAGTGGAAAGCAATCAGTTTAGATTAGAACACCTAAATACAGAAGAAAAAGCCACGTTAACAAACATTTTGTTTGAATTTAGCGATATTCAGTATAAAGAGAGTGACAATTTGACTTTCACAAATACTGTAAAACACGTTATCAATACAAAAAATGAGGACCCCTGTTATAAGAAACCATATAAATATCCACAAACCTTTGATGACGAAGTTAACAAGCAAATGAAAGAAATGATGCAACAAGGTATTATACGACCATCTAATTCACCTTATTGTTCTCCTATTTGGATAGTACCAAAAAAAGAAGATGCATCAGGAAAGAGAAAATATAGAATAGTAGTAGACTATCGCACCCTTAACGAAAAAACAGTAAGCGATAAATTTCCCATACCTGTAATGGATGAAATATTAGACAAATTAGGAAAATGTCAATATTTCACAACAATCGATTTGGCTAAAGGATTTCATCAAATTCAGATGGACGAAAAATCAATAGCAAAAACAGCATTCTCAACCAAAGCAGGACATTTCGAATATACGCGAATGCCATTTGGCTTGAAAAATGCACCAGCAACCTTTCAGCGTTGTATGAACAATCTTTTAGGAGACTTAATTAACAAAAATTGTCTAGTTTACATGGATGACATAATAGTGTATTCCACTTCATTGGAAGAACACATATTAGCGTTAAGGAAAGTTTTTAGAAAGCTCAGAGAAGCAAATCTAAAACTACAACTAGATAAGTGCGAATTCATGAAAAAAGAAACTGAATTTCTAGGACATATAATAACAACGGAAGGAATAAAACCTAACCCAATCAAAATAAAAGCCATTAAAAAATTTCCAATCCCTAAGACCCCAAAAGAAATCAAAAGATTCCTAGGATTATGTGGATTTTACAGGAAATTCATACCAAATTTCGCAAAAGTTGTGAAACCAATGACAATAAAGCTAAAGAAAGGAGCAAAAGTTAACGAAAAAGAAATAACATACTTAGAAGCCTTTGAGAAATTAAAATTACTCATAACATCAGACCCAATATTAGTATATCCGGATTTCAAGAAAAAATTCTCACTTACTACAGACGCTAGTAATTATGCGTTAGGAGCAGTTTTATCACAGGATCACAAACCAATATGTTATGCTAGTAGAACTTTAAACGAGCATGAGATAAAATATTCAGCGATAGAAAAAGAATTATTAGCAATAATATGGGCAACGAAAAATTTCAGATCATACTTATTTGGCAGAAATTTTGAAATACTTAGCGATCACAAACCTCTTATATGGCTAAACAACATAAAAGAGCCAAACATGAAGTTACAAAGGTGGAAAATAAGACTAAACGAATACGATTATGAAATCAAATACATACCAGGCAAAGAAAACTACGTAGCTGATGCACTTTCAAGAATTAAAACAGAAGAAAATAACGTAGAAGAAAATTTCATGGGGAATGCTCAAGACAGCATAGCAGCAACAATACATAGCGCAAACGAAGATAATCAAAATTGCATTCAAACCACAGAAAGACCATTAAATAATTATAACCATCAAATAGAATTTATAAAAGGAAATACCGAAGAAATAAAGAAAATAAGATATTTTCACAAAACTAAGATTATAATAAATTACATAGAAATGACCACTGAAAAAGCAAAAGAGATCATAAAAGAATATCTTTGTGCAAAAAACAGCGTTATATACTTCCCACACGAAGGTGACTACGCAATATTCCAAAAAGCCTATTTAGAAATAATACAAAGAGATTGTCCGATAAAAACTATGAGAACCACAAAAAAATTAAAAGATATTCAAACTTATTCAGAATTGAAACAAATCATATTAAACGACCATACAAAACTTTTACATCCAGGAATAGAAAAAACTATAGTAATGTTTAAAGAAAAATATTATTTCCCAGATTACCAAAAACTAATACAAAACATAATTAACGAATGCGAAATCTGTAATATATCAAAAGTGGAGCACAGGGACACAAAATTTAGTTATGAAATAACACCTGAGGTTTTCAACCCTAGAGAAAAATACGTTATAGATTTTTATATTATCAATAATAAGCAATTTTTATCATGCATAGACGTATACTCAAAATACGCTACGTTAATAGAAATAAATAGTAAAGATTGGTTAGAAGCAAAACGAGCATTATTAAAAATATTCAACGAAATGGGAAAACCATTAGAAATAAAAGCAGACAAAGACTCAGCATTCATGTGTGCAGCATTAAAAATTTGGTTAGATTCAGAAAATGTAAAAATTAAAATCACAACAAGTAAGAACGGCATATCAGACGTAGAACGGTTTCACAAAACAGTCAACGAAAAATTAAGAATAATTAATTCAGACACAAACGAAGAAAATAAGTTAACAAAATTCGAAATAATACTTTACACTTATAACCATAAAACGATACATAGCACTACTGGTAGAACACCAGCAGACATCTTCATTTATGCCGGATCACCAGCATACAATACCCAATTGAATAAAATTAAAAAGATCAACAAGCTAAACGAGAAAAGAAAAACTTACGAAATAGATACAAACTATAGAGAAATGCCACTTATCAAATCAAAAACGACAAATCCATTCAGGAAGACAGGCATAATAAAACAGTTAGATAACAAACATTTCGAAGAAACGAATAGAGGAAGAAAAATCATACATTACAAAACTAAATTCAAAAAGAAAAAGAAAATAAACATAAACAAATATAACAATAATTTCAGGTCAACTACAGAAGATTCACCTACCGATCCACCTGCTAACAATGATAATACTAACGCTAACAATAACTCAGAGTAATACCCAAAATATAGACATTAACCAAGTAAACGCACAAAACGGGTACGTTTTATTTAAAACAGGCTCATTAAGCATACCTTCAGATTTCGAATACCATTGCCTAACAGTAAACCTAACAAAAACCGAAAATACTGAAAAAGATTTAATATCTCAGACATATGATTTTAGTGCTCTACCCCAAGTAGAATATCTAGTAGAAAAACTTCAAAGAGAAATGAACGGAATAAGAATAATCAAAAGACAGAAACGAGGACTCCTAAATTTAGTAGGAAAAGGTTACAAATACTTATTTGGCACATTAACTGAAGACGACAAAACAGAACTTACTGAAAAAATTGATGATTTAGAAGCTAATAGCATACAGGTAAACGAACTAAACAAAGTCATAGAAGCAGTCAATCATGGCATAAAAATAATGGACGGCATGACAGAAATGTCACAACAGAACACAAAATTAAGCTTATTACTGTTTAACTTACAACAATTCACTGAATACATCGAAGATATCGAGATGGGAATGCAACTGACCAGATTGGGAATTTTTAATCCAAAATTGTTAAAACATGATCAATTATTAAATGTCAATTCAGAAAAATTGTTAAATGTAAAAACATCAACTTGGATAGAACCCAAGACAAATGAAATTATAATAATATCACATATTCCGAAAACTCTGTCACAAGAAACATTATATTCAATAATACCATATCCAGACAAGGAAAAGAATATTTTAACCGAAACTATTAAAGATAAATATTATTTACATAAGAATAAAACTTATTCAGCAACAGAAAAGAAACTAATAACAAACAAATGTATTAACGGTATCTTGAAACAAACGGAAGTTGAATGTAAATACACAAAAACAAGAAAAAACTATGAAATAAATTTCATAGAACCAAATGTAATATTAACTTGGAACTTACCTAAAATTACACTTAATCAAAACTGTATACCACAAAAGATTGAAATTTTAGGAAACAACATTATTAAAGCAACCAATTGTTCTGTCCAATTAGAAGATATCCAGATATCAAATGTAATATCAGATTTTACACAAACCGTTTATATCAGTAATAATATAACTAAAACAGAGCCGTTAGCATTCATACAAACTAAAGAACTCATAAGAGAACATACAAGAACAAACAATACATTATTAATCATAAGCTTAACATCAGTAACAATATTATCAATAGTAATAATTAGCTATTCTTTATTCAAATACAAAAATTTACCAAAACGAACGATAATAGAATATAAGAATAGTACAGTAACAACACCACCCGTCGAAAATGAAGACAAAGCAACCATGGAAAGCGCCAACGATTTAAGAATATACCCTACACTGAACGCTTGAGGACAAGCCAATTTCTAATGGATGGGGAAGTGACATATTCAGATCACATGGATCTCTCATGTCCACACACACACACACGCACAAGCCAGACATAAACAAACAAACACTCACATATACACCCGTACCCAGCTGCAAGCAAAATAGCTGATGCTGCAAATAATAACAGTTCAGTTGCCAACCGAAAAACGCGCAACTGAGTGAAGAAGTTACGATCACGCTGCATTTGTCAACTCAGCAGTTCCCACGCTGGACGACGAGAAGAATATCCATATAAAGCAGCACATTCAGTAATTAAGTTAGTCACATTTTGTACTCAATAGTAAGCAGTCACATTTTGTACTCAATAGTAAGCAGTCACATTTTGTACTCAAAAGTAAGAAGTCGTGTTTTCAATAAAATTATATTTTTTTATTCTAAACCGTTGTCCGACTTTCAATTATATATATTGATGACACAGACAGATTTAAAAATGATAAAGATTGGGAATATTACATAAAACTTTGTACAAAAGAAATTCACGAAAAAAGTTGCATACCGTGTTTTTTTTGTTCTTACAAAACATACTGATCAAAATAAGTAAATAAATATGTATTTAGTATAGAAATAAGTATGTAGTTTATAATAGTTTAAACTAGGCTCAAATGAAACTCGTTCATTCATCAAATTGGGTTAAGAGTTAAAAATAAATTATATATATATATAGTATTTGCTGCATAAAGTTGTCTAAATAGAACCACAACCATCCAAACTTTTGTTGTTGTTGATTTAATGGACTAATATTAATATACTTTTTTTGTTGTTTGTTTTGTTTTGTTTTGTTTTCTTTTATAATTATTTAGACCTTTAACCCTACAAAAGCTAATTACAATTTGTACAGCTGCCTGAAGGTTTAGATTAGATAGTAACCTGAGCTTTTGCCCTAATACTTCTCGATGTATCTCAGTAAAAATATATATCTCAAATAGAAAGAGAAAAAACAACTAAAAACTAAACTAAAGGAAACATACTAAAAGAAACTAATCTAATAATTAGATTTAATGGGTAATACTGGTTTTTAGATGGCGTCTACTTACGCGCTTCATGATCAGCGTACGATCTCCGGCCTGATCATCGTCATCCGGCGTCGGTGGCAAGGGTCGATTTGGTGGCCCACCGCTGCCGTGGGTCAGCGGTGTGGTCGTTGTTGTTGTGTCCTCAGAGACGGGTCCCAAGCCAGGCCTGTATGAAAATTCGGGTCTGAACAAACCAAAAAAAAACCGAAATCCAAAAAAAAAACAGGAAAAAACACAAAACGGCAAAACGCAAAAACGGGTCGGCATTTCAAACAAATCGATAAATGAGTGGCATGAAAATAATGCGTGAAGTGGATGTGGATGTGGAGGAGTGGTGCAGGTAACGATAACGGTAATGGGTGACAGAAAATTGTATAGCATGTTGTGAATTTGTATTGTATACGATAAGTTCTATCTATATACCTATTTATATCTGTAGCACAGCCATACATTTTTAAAATGTAAACAATTCATTCATTTTTATAGTTTAAAATCAAATTTTTCAAAAATGGTTTACTGAATTGAATTATTTGCTGTACTCCATCTACAAACATATAGATATATGTATCCATTATAAAAAGCTTGATCTTTAATAAATGAAATGTTAAGTGCTGTGCGCCATTTGCAAATTACTAGTAAATGTTGTGTAGCAACTTTTACAAACTGTGTTGCAATGCAAATTTTGACGCGCCTCCCGTTTTGTGCGGCATGGGTTTCTGTATTTTTGGAGTACGTGGTACTTACAGCGGCTTGGGCGGATCACTGGCCAAAAGTGTGCCATCGTTGCGTGCCCGATCGTTGGGCTCATCCGGTTCGCTGTCCGAGTCGCTGCTGTCGAGCGGATCCAGCGGATTGACGGCCTGTCCCAGATGATTGTTGGACTGTTGTTGTGGCAGTGCCGCTGCCGGCTTGGATGACGACGAGGAAGCCGATACACAGATCGCACCATTGCCCGAGGATGCACCCGATTGTCGATTGTTGCGCGGCGGCGCCTCCGGCTGTGCCAGTTGCTGCTGCTGTCCGCCGGCTGCTGCTGTCTGTGGCTGCGGCTGTTGGGAGGAGACCACGCCCAATTCATTTAATTGTGCTGCTAACACATCCAAATGATCCTACATTTTTTTTGTTTTTTGTATTTTACAATAGATATTTGTGGGCCATTTTATGCACACGGAGGATTTTTATGTGTAGTGTAGTGTAGTGTGTGTGTTTGTGTGGTGTTGTGTTGTGTGTGTGTGTGTATGTTTGAGTGTTGCACGTGGTACCACATTTGTTGTTGTTGTTGTTTGTTGTAGTTGTTGGTTTCGGATGGGGGGCAAATGCGATTGTATTCGGGGTGGAACGAAAAGTAAGAGAGCATTAGACTGGTTTGTACCTTTCACTTCTTATATACATAGATAAACAACAAACAGGGCCAAACATTAGAGAAAGCTCGGTTAGTTATTATCTATTTATGGAACTGGCCGGGGTTAGTTAGTTTTTTTTTGTTTGTTCGGAATCGACTTTATGCTTGGCATTACAAACGCATCAATCACAGCAACTCTTCTATTTATAGAACCGCTTCAAATAGTAGCATAAACTTTTTCCTTTTTTTGGTTAGTTGCATTTTGGAAAAATTGAAAGTGTTTTCGAAGGTTTTTTCTTTTTTGTGGATTAGTGGGCACGTGCATTGTATATATTGGTTATAACAGAGTTACGAAGAGGCGAACTCTCTTTACTGTGTACTTGTGTACCTCCATCAAGTGTACATTATATTTTTTTTCAGAATTTCGACAAGGGTTCCAAAAATGTAGAGGAGGAGTTTATATATATATACATACTAGTAAATCAAGCATAAAATACACATAAATAGGATACAGATAGATGGATAGATAGACAGAGTGAGAGAGAGATAGACAGAGCGAGAGAGAGATAGAGATAGAGGAGCGAGCAGGCTACAACCGAAAATGATAAAAAACATACCTCAGGTCTCCTTGGTGGTAACTGTTGTATGATTGATTGATTGATTTTGTTTTGAATGTGTGTTTTAGTGTTTTGGATCAAATTATACGTTGGTTGTTGTACAATTTGTACATATTAATATATATTTGGCGCAACGGGATGTTGTACGTTTAATATACACACACAGAGAGAGACACACACACACATGAGCGAAATCATAAGGTCGATATTTTAGTTTATATAGTTATGCATTATGTTATGGTAGACGCACAAAACATGAAAATAAAAGAAGTTCAAAATCATATAAATATATACAATCGATCGTACAATACTCTTACAAGGGTAAATTATAAATGAGCTAAGAGGCTGGGACGGGAATTAAACTACTAATCAGCAATAGATCAACGTGGGCTTTGCAAGGGTCTATAAGAAACGCCTTATAGGATATATTTTTGAAGCATTAATATAGCATAAGATGTGGTTTCAATTTCGCTAATAATTAAATTGTAAGTTAGGCAGACAGTCAACATTTGAAAAGCGATTTAATCTGATAATCTCTCAAAGTGCACAAGGTGCACATTATATTATACAAAACTGATTTAAAATTGTAAAATTGCTATGCTTTTGTAATCAGTGGCAACTTGTTAAGTAATACATTCTATGCTTTAATATATTCCTTTAAATTAGTCTGATTAAACGCGCTTATAAATTTGATTGAATAGCTAGAAATCTACAATGAACGGTAAATTTTCTATTGGTTCAATTTAGTTCTGTACGTGTATCATAAATTTATTAAATAATTAAATTAAATTTTACTCCCTGATAGGCTACACAAAACAGAGCTGCAAACTTTTCTTACTCAATCCATTTTATTCGAATTTATCTTGCCACATTTGTATAGCCTGCATTGTATACCCCTATCTATCATTCACCACATGAACAACTTCCGACCACAGCTAGTTTTAATCGCGAACTCCTTTCTATATCACGCAAGCCTAGCAAGTCATTGCTCTAGGAGACGCAGGCCCCTTCTTATCAGTAGCTGAGTATCGCTGCTATGGTTATTTGTAATCTCTGCGCTCTGTGGAGAATACGCACCGATGGCTTAAAATTGTTCTGCGAGCTGCGCTGCGACTGCTGCTGCTGTTGTTGAGAGGGCGCCTGAGCCGTTGGCTCGCCGCACTTCGGTGTCGGTGGCAATGGCCGATTGGCATGCGGTGGATCTGGCACCACAATCAGACGCTGCGGCAATTGTGGGCGTGCCGGCGGACCCGTTTCCTCAACCTGCTGGCGCTGCAAAAACAAAAAAGAAAGAGTATGAGTCAATGATTAGTAACATAAGAAGCAATTTGTAGCTTTGGTTGCTCATTTAAACGACACTTACCGATGGCGGTTTCTGCTGACGATTCGCCTGCGGCTGTTGAGCCTGTGCCTGCTGCTGCTGCTGTTGTTGTTGTTGTTGCTGCTGCTGTTGCTGTGCCACCTGCGCCTGTTGCGCTGCATGCGCCGCTGCTGCTGCTGCTGCTGCCGCCTGCTGCTGCTGTTGATGTAGCTGCGCCTGGGCAGCAGCATGAGCTGCAGTGGCCTGCGCCTGAGCCTGGGCAAGCAACTGATGATGCTGCTGCTGCTGTTCGGCGGCGAGGCGACCTTCCTGGATTTGCTGAAAGTTGCGTCGCAACGTGTCGCCACCAGGCGCTTGTATGATCGAGCTGGGCTCACCGGCCAGCTGCGGCTCGTCGTCATCGTTGTCGGAGCCCGAGTAGCGATAATCTTCGCGCTCCTTCTCCTGCTTGCGCTTCTTGCAGCGATCGATGTGATCCTTTAGCTGGATGCGCACCTGTCGATCCGTCGGCTGATCCTTAATGAAGGCATGCTTCAGCAGATTCTCGGTGTAAGGCCTCTGGTGATAGTCCTTCACTGTGAATGCAAAAATGTTGCAAATATTTACATTTCTAAGACCAATATGACGTAAAATGACTCACCTAGCACCGTGTCAATGAAGCCGTGAAACTTCTTGGACCATTTTTTGGATTTGAGACGCGGCGGCGAGTTGCGTGGAATTAAGAAGAGAGCACGCATCGGATGCAAATCGCAGAGCGGCGGCTGTGACTCAGCCATTTCCAATGCCGTGATGCCCAGGGACCACAGATCCGAGCGATTGTCGTATGTCGCTTCGGGATTCTCGTCGCAGGCAATGACCTCGGGTGCCATCCAATAGGGAGTACCTGTATACAAACACCGCCAACAACAAACAAGAACAAACCAGTTAAGCCCAACTCAGTTCAGCATGATTCACCCAAAAGTTTTGCGTCTCACCGATGAATGTGTTGCGTCTGCCTATCGTGCGATCCAGCTGCGCAGAGACACCAAAGTCCACAAGTTTAACCTCGGCATTATCTGTGAGCAGCACATTTTGGCCTTTGATGTCGCGATGAATTACTTTGTTCGAGTGCAAATAGCTGAGGCCGCGTAATATTTCGCGGCAAATGTATGCGATCCATTCCTCTTTGAGGCTTTGGCCTTTTGTGGACTTGACCAGATCGGTAACGGAGCCAGCGCCGCAGTATTCCATAACCAGCCACAGCTGATCATCTTTACCCGGTGGCGATTTTTTAATAAACGCCCCATAATAGGTGGCAATGTTGCGATGATTTGAGTATTTCTTAAGCACATTGATCTCAAGCTTAATCTCCTCCTCCTCATCCTCGGTGACATCCATCACCTTTATGGCAGCCAACTGACCAGTTTTTGTATGACGGCCCTATAACAGTCAAATAAAAATAAACGCATTAGTTGTGCAGAATTAAAGCGAAAACTTTGCTTATCATGCTGTGTAAATTTATGCGACATTGAATCTCTTTCAGTCACAAGACACTTGAACTCGACAACGTCGACGACAACAAGAATTGTTGACCGTGGGCGAAACGACGTCAATAAACTGCGTCAGTCACTTACGACTGAAAGTGTTGCGAGTAAACAATAATTCAATGCACACATTCATCACACAATAGAACAGGAAGAATCATGAATCGTGCATATGCTCGACTTGAAGAGGGAGCTTAAGTACAGTCATTGAATCTATTGCAAAAATACTCTTTCTCAATTGAGAAAAACTCTCTTTGACTTGACTTAATTTTTAATGCACTTTCTAAATATTTAGCAAATTGCGAAACTATTGTATTTATAAATATATATATATTTATCAGAATAATTGTAAATGCTCATTCCAAATATTACACACTCATAAAATGATAAACGCGTCTTACAATTCAAGACCAACACGCTGAAAAATGCACACATTAATTAATTTTTAATAAGTTCAGGGCATAAAAAACCATAACAAATGCATTTTATACACTAAACTAAACTGATTTTTGAGTATTGTACTTTTTTGAGCAGATGAATTCTGCATTTAAACTTGAAACGGTTTTAAAGAACTCGTAGTAAATCCTTTTTCGATGTGGTCTTCATTTATTTTTCTAGATTGCATTTTCTAAATATTCAACATTGTTTTCTTCTGCATTGATCCAATTTCAGGTCAAAATTCAAACACTTTTTATTATGCTATTCCCGTTTTCATACCGATTTCACAGCTCGTTATGTGCACAGCAAAATTGAATAACGTGACTTGAAAATCGATTATCCTCGAGCAGACAGTCAGTCAATCAAGGCGTAAAAATGCATTTCAATCAGCTGTCGTTTTAATCAGTGTCATAAATTGATTTTGTTCCGTTTCTGATTGAGTTGTCCTGACCGGTTATATTTGCGGAGAGTACTCCACCACTTTGGTGTCTTTTTTTAGAGCGACTATAAAATGGCATTTAAAATTTAATACAGTTTTAATTGGCGACTAGTGCAGCAGCTGCCATGAGTAGCTGCAAGCGCAGTTAGCTACCCATAATAAATCAAGTGCCTAACGAGATATGATAACAATTTTCTTGCTCCAAACGAAGAAGGAGAAGAAGACCAGCATGACGACGACGATGATTAGCCAGCGGGGCGTATATATATACATATATATATATATATATTTGCTGCTATCAAAATGCTATTAAGCAACAATTTTCAGCACTTGGTGGTTGCTGTTCTGTTGTCATATTCTAACGGTTGACTGTGCAAAATTGTACAGATTTTATGCAAATTAATGACATGCACTAATGGCGAGAGAAAGAGAGAGCCAATCGATTGGACATGCTGAGTCGAGGAGGCAGGTGCAACCAGTTTATGGCTCATCATTGAATTGTATCCAGTTGCCAGCTATTTAGCAACGGACGCGACTTCAAGCGAATTCAATTTAAAGTCCAACAGCGATTGCCGCAATAAGAATAATCAAATAATAAAAAAATAAAAATACAAAAGAAAAATATTTGTGAATCACTCGCGCAGCACTCACAGTTCAGCTTTAGAGCAAATAGAGCTAAACACAATCCCAGAAACAAATAAATAAACAAACAAACAAACACACTGACGACGACGACGGCGACGACGACGACGACGACGACAGCGATAGCGACAAGCCTTTGCCTTATGGAGACGAAACTGCTGAATATGTTCAAATATATCTGTATGATGAAAACAAAAACCAAAGCCCCAAAACGAAACGAAACGAATAATGTTTTAAAGGTAAAGTCAACAATGGAGGAACCGCATCGGAGTGTCTCAAAAGACATCGAGCAGCTGTCCCATTCGCTTTGCCTACCTATGCAGAAGTTGTTTTCGTTTTTTTTTTCTTTTCGATTTGCTGCTCAAGTATTCAGTTTCAGTACAAGTATCTGGCAGATACACAATGCTCAATGCTCAATGCTCTGCGCTGTGATCCGGGCGTGAAAAACGAGAAAAATACGAAAATCAACAAACACAATAAACTTGATGAAAAATGCAACGACAAAAAACAGACAAAACAAAAAAAAACACGCACATTGCACATTCTGTGTAAGCAGACACACACACATACAAATGCACATACATACGATCGTCTATATGTATATAGCTAAACTGCATAATCAGACAATTACGTGTTGTCATAACGTGATTCGTACGGCAAATGACGACTACTGTCGTCTGCTTCTTCTTGCTCTTCTTGTACTTATTCTTCTTCTTCTCATTCTTGAACAACATGAAGTTGCTCCAATACCCATTTTTCCCCACGTCCCACGCTCTGTTCTGCAAACTCGGAAAAATATGCAATCATACGTCAACAAACAGAAGTAATAATTGTTGCTAAAAAAAAAATAAACGTGCCTTTTTTTGGTCTGAGAAATACACTGTAAGTATCGAAAGAAACGACCTTTAAACCACTTTTAACCCGGTTCGCTTACCTAATATACATAATATCACCGCATTAAAGGGTATTGAGCAACCACAGCCAACATTAAATAACAATTGCTGAGCGTATTGTGATAACGGCGTTAAAATATCTATGACACTGCAAATATGAGAAGAGAAGGAAGAAAAAACCAACAACAAGAAACTTGAAACGGGGGGCGGGGCACTTTTCCCTGTGGACAACAAATACCCCATACAAACACAGCCCTCTTGCGCTTGGCGTCACATAAACTAAAAAGATTATCTCGGACATTTTTAGTTGACGTGTTGAGTTTGACTGATGCAAATCGCCTAATCGACCGACAGAGAGAGAGATAGAAATAAAAATACTGTATTCATGGAACAACTAAAAACAGCTGGCTGGCAGCCTGAAAGAAGAAGCATAAATATGGGAAATAACGGTGGTGGGCAATGTGTGTTTCCGATAAGACAGCAAAATATGTAAAGTGAATTCGGCTGAATGAGAGAAAATAGAATGAGGAAATGGTATTAGATGCATTCTGTACAACGGAAGGTAAGTTGTGATGAAACTTTAAAGAAATAGGCCAGAGATATACAAAGAGCTGGAGATGGAAGGAAAGACATGCATTAAGTATTCCATGGGGAAGCATTCCTTTGAATATAATCGAGAAAGTTGAGACTTTTGAGTTGTTTGCATAGGAATTGGTTCAACACAAAGGTTTTTTTTTTCTTCGTTTTTTTTTTAAATAAACATAAACTATAAAAATTATAAATAAAAGAGGTGTGAAGACGACAACAACGACACATTCATATGGAGATCTGCACTTATTATTCTCCCCTCACAACAACTTTAACGGACACCTTACAATGCCTACAACGCGTGTTAGGTAATCGAATCACCCGCAACGCAGCTCTGCCGGCATTAGATCAAAGCCAACCCCCAACCACAATGGAGTACTCCATTTCACACACAAATACACACACACACACGCACACACACCTCTGCGAACTACACACTTTGCTCATTGAGCTTGCATATTAAATTTGCGGCAAGCAGCAACAATGTATGAGTTACAGATGGAGAGATATATAGAGATACATACAAATATTGTATGTATATAGAGTGTTGTTAGAGATTGTCGGCAAAAGTCTCACACAGCCCACACGTGCAACACTTGGCAAAAAACCGCAATTCAATTTACAGCACTTGCCACAACACAATTGCAAGTGGGAGCAGCCACCATAGACAACGAGACCAGAGTTCTGTTGCTGCTGCTGCTGCATGTAACACACCCCGCGCACGTGTGCGTCAAGTAACCAAGTGGTTGCCCTGCCTCGACTGTGGGCTGCCTGCCTATTTGGCTGGCTGCTATATTGCCCCACTAGCCCACAGGGCCGCGATGCTTGTGGCAATATGTTTTAACGCAGCTGCTGCGTTTGCCAATATTGTGCAAGCTTTTAATACCTCCCCGCACCCATGCCCCATGCCCCATGCACCATTACATCCATTGCCTCCACACAACAGATTTCAAATCGCAAATTTGTTGTGGCTCCGAATCTAAAACAAATGAGAATTTAATACATTGGGTGTGCCCGACTGCGACATGACCTCTTTTCAAGAAACACACAAAAATTCATACACACAAAAGTATGCTACAAAAAAGTAAAAGGAAAAAATAAGCCTTTTTATTGAGCTTTCGAAATTTTCTTTTGATTTTCATACTTTTTGTTTGTTTTACAAAAATTCAAGAATAAAAGCCATTACAACTGCAAAAAAAAAGTTAGGGTATACGTTTGGGAAACAAAAATGCGTTAAGGTAATTACTTGGCCTCCCAAGGGGCTGAAAGGGGGTGAGTGGTGGGCGAGGGAAGTGGTGGATACGACGCATCAATTACCAATTGTTGCTTGCTTCAGCTTGTTTGTGTTAATTAACCCAGAAATCAAATCGTTTTTTTCTTCTAAACTGCACTTGTAAGGCAACCATGAATGCATTTTAATTTAACTTTGTTTTGCAGTGTGCTTAAAGTTAATTGAGTACCACTCCCTCTCCCCTCCACCACCTTACACACCTCTACTGAAATTTATGGGAAAAAAAACAACAAGAAAATAGCAACAATATAAATGTAAATATGCATGAAAAATAACTTTTAAAGCTGTTGTGTTTGCCAAACGAATGAATCATTGCAGTTCTCTAGCTAGATTTTCAATCACTCCACTCTCACTCTCTCTCTCTCTCTCTGCCTCTCTCCGTCTCTATCGTTTTCTTCTCGTTTCATTAAAATTCAATTTAAATTTACAACCATTAAAAGTTTGACTGAGTGTTGGGTGTTTTCGAGCACAGGGTTCAACACAGTGTTTTACAAAAGGCTTATTGGCCAACTTGGATGCCCCACTGATGACTGACTGCTTGTTAGCCTGTCTGCCCTCCCTCCCTGTCTGCCTCCCTCCGCTGCCTTCGCTCCTTTCATTTAAGT